TACAGCCACTTGAGCTCAGGAGTTACTTTATAAAACAGTTCTCTCTTAACTCAGTTTGACGCTGAATCAACTTGAATCTCTGTTCCACAAAAGGAGAAAGCTATACATCTGTTCAATGCAGAGATGCTGCCAAGCTCATCTCAGATGGTCTAAAAGACAGTGGAAATGTGTGCTGTGGTCAGATGAGTCCACGTTTCAGCTTGTTTTTTGGAAAAACTGGACGTCGAGTTCTCTATCCCCAAGACCATCGAGACTTTCATCAGCGACAGGTACGAAAGCAAACATCTGTAATAATAGGGGGGTGCATCAGTGCACATGGCATGGGTGACTTGCATGTGTGTAAAGGTACCATTGACATGGAAGCGTACTATACATTGGGATTGTAGAGAGACATTTAATGGCATCAGGATGACATCTTTCCTGGGAAGCAAAACTAAGCCAGGCCTCATTCTGCGTGTGCTACAACTGAGTGGTTTCTAGACACTCTTCAACCATGGATGTGCCTGACTGACAGTCCAAATCTGTCTCTTATTTGAAAACGTATGGCCATCATGAAAAGGAGAATCAGACAACAATGATCACAGATTGTGAGCAGATCTTTTTTATCAGGCAAAATTGGTTAAAAATTCCACTAGCAACAATTCCCAAATAATTAAACTGTAATTAAAAGGAAAGGTGATGTGACAACATATGCCTCTGTCCCAACTTTTTTTGGAGTGTGTTGCAGACACACTCAAAATTAAACAGTATTTACAAATTGACTTTTCTTTGTAATTTTGTCAGTTAAATGAAGGTTCAAGAGAATTAACACAGATGATTGATTATTGTAATGTATTTGATAAAGTGTCCCAACTTTTCTGGAAATGGGGGTTGTGTGTGTGTATATATATATATATATATATATATATATATATATTTTAATGTCCTGAATTAATTTTTATTGAATAACATGTGTTCTTAGTTTTTGTTTTCATTTAGCAGTACAAATTCATCACAACATGATAGGGATTTATTTATTAATGAGAGCCGCAAGAGAAAACAGGTGTTCAATTCGAAACACTCACCACTGAGTAATGAAGTGGACAAATTTCTCACTGAACTGGCCAACTGGAAGCACGGGAGGATCCTAAAAATAAACAAATATACACTGTTAAAATCATTATTTACAAAAACATCCACAAAATATAATAAAAATATCAATAACATGTTTATACTTCACACAAAAAAAAAATATGGTTTATAACTTGTAGGTTTTATGTGGCCTTGACTACGTTCCAGAAAGGTTACAATCCATAATGAGGTATTATACGTGCGGAAAGTCAAAAGCAGCCTTGTATATTCAATTTTGGAAGCACCTGAACCCCTCTTTTGTTGGACAGTGGAAGATTTCTGATGCACAGAACATGGTACAAACACACACAAACAGACAAAAAGCTTGAAGAGAGAGAGAGAGCCATTCATGGGCCCCTGAAGCAGAAAGCATACAGTTGATAAGAACATATACAGTAGTTACGACCTCAACCTCCAAATAGTTAACATGGTAACCAAATTAAATCAGCCACTTGTAAAGGACAGACACACTGAAACTAAATGAAACAAGTGAAAATTCCAGATATCTTTCTCATTGGGTGAATAGGACACTTGCGACAATGCACATATTCAGACACCACTGAGATCAAACTGACACATTCATTGTAATATAATCTTTATCAGAAAACTGGAGCCACAATTTTTACACGAGACTAGAGCAGAAAGAAAAAAAATGGCCTGTTTCAAAGAGAAGATTATTTGTATTCCAACCATAAAAATAATTTGAATGAATATGGCCTTTGGGAAAGAAAGAAATTATTATATCAACATGTTACACAGATTTAAAAGCCTTCATGTTAAAGATAGAATTTAGATTCAAGGTGTTTGGGTGGGATTGATGTATTTGAAAGGAAATTGTTCTATTTTCACAAAAAGATAAGGGACAAAGAGAAGAAACTGCTTTAACAGCCAGTTGGAATTAAAGGAAACCTCTCCGGCACAATACAAGCAAAATGCCTTTTACAAAACAAGAATGGATAATGGAAAGAAATAACCTGATATGCCGTATATCAGACTCAGTCATTGATTCATTCAGAGCTAAGTTTACAATTCACTCCCCTAACTGAACAAGAGTTCTTTTTCTGTTAGTACTGATTTAAAATGGATCGAGAACCATTACTAAAAAGAAACGTGCTAGATTTTTTTTCCGCAGCGAATGGCACATATACAATCATGATCACTAGAATGACAGCATAAAAAGTACAAACACAACTAGAAAAAGTATTATATAAGGCCACATCCATGAGAAGCCAGAGCTTGCCATATCCGATTTGTTTCTTCCCTCGTTAAAAAAAAAAACAATGAAAAAAAATCAGTAAACACGGCGTCACCTCAAGAAATATCTGCGTATACACTAACCACTAAAACCGTCTCAAAGAGAGCTGTAATTCTGCCACTGAGATAAACTAAAAATGAAGACGACGACTTGGCGCATGCGCATAAACCTTGTGCGCTGTATACAATAAAAGGCTCAGTAGCTTATTTACTTTTTTTTTATTTTATTTTATTTACCAAGAAATTTATTGAACAATATAAACAACTATAAATGCTTGGTACAAACAAAATAGGAAATGTCTAATTCAGACAACAGACAAGCATCATAGAATAAGAAAGAAATATAAATAAAGTAAAAAAAAGAAATAAAATAAAAATACATTCAAGTAAATATTAAATAAAGGAATAAAAACGTATCAGTAGCTTCTGCAGCACGAACACAAGCATGTAGTCCGCAGTTGTTGTTGCAGTTCCGTGACATAGCGGTGTCCGAGTAGGATCGACGTGGGGTGATGACATCATTATTTCACAAAATATACGGATTGGCCGGCCTCACAAAAACGCAAGGGTGTCGTTTTCAGATTTATCCACTCTGCGATCCGGTTTAAAAAAACGGCGGATCTGTCTGGACGAAATGCCGATTCGATAGAACATTTTTACGTAAACAGCTAAACGGATCTCTGTGCGGAAAAGGCCTAACTGTTTATACAATTGTCGTGGAAAGTAGGACAAAAACTAAACCCAGTCTGTTAAAGAAGGAAGTGAACTAAAGTGCTTTTGATGTTTATTGAGCAAATCTGTGATTAGTAAACTAAAAAAGTAATTTGTCTCCGAAATGTTTCTTTTTAGGGGCCAACATCACCCAAGTCATTTTCTAGAGGGTGTGAAACAGACACCTATTCAAATGAACATAGCCAGAGGTGAACAAGCACAGCTATACATCATTACGCACCCAAGACTCACAGCCTGGAGGCCACAGTACACATACATTTGGTCCATGCCTAGACCAAAACACAGATTCAGAGCAACACGAATAACCAGGCACATGTAAATACAGCGAGATGCGCACAGACACACACACGTACGCGTACACAAACAGATGCACATACACTTATGGATGCACAAACACCTTCATTTTGGGGTCTTTGATGTGGCGGCTGCATGAGGTTGATGATGATGATGATGAAAGCAGTGTTACATTATGCAGCTTGCTGCCATTATCCAACACTACAAACAGAGCCAGACCACGGCCCGTCTTCCTCCACAATACCAGCAGTAAATATACATGTAATTGCCCAGCAGCAATTATCAGGCAAAATTAGATCAGTAATTACAGAGGTGAATTTAAGCCTGAGTCTTATTAGTAGCATCAGGGTTGTTTCAATACACGAGCAAAGAGGGACAATTAAAGATGGGCTGCCGTTCAGATCTGAAATAGAGCGTCTCCTATAAAGAAGTGCACGACAAATCAGCAAGACTTGATCGAGAGAAAGTAAACAAGAGGACAAAAAAACAGCTCTGGCGTGCTTCACCTCATTTAGCTATTTATTCACCCTTCCCATGAGTGCTGCGAGACCTTGCGGCTGATTATTTATACCGAGGTCACCATGGAAACCAGCCATACATACTCAAACACAATGCCCTTCAAACAAGCTAGACTGTCATTAACCGCATCCTCTCCAAGTACAAGTGGTCAGATTACAAGATCAACTACCTTTGACCTTCCTGAATTTCTCCCATGAACTTCATGACACTTCTTTGCCATCTAGTGATTTTCATCATCACTGATGGTATAAGCTCATGTTTAATGGGTCTCAGATCTTACATTCATACCACGCTTTTATGATAGACCGGGTCTTGATGCCCTTCTCAGGTGGATTTCCTCTTTATTCTGCCTGTTTCTCATATTCTCTCAGGTACAGTTTCTAAATGTTCTCTTTTCTCCTGCTCTTTTAGTCCATCACATTCACTTTGCTTCTTTCTCGGTCTGTGCACTAGATTACTCTTTAAAGTAGGTCCTGGGGAGCACCCACAACTCCCATCTCAAACTCCCTCTCACTGTCTCTCTCCGAAGGTTGTAAATCAGTGGCAGTGAGTAATAAGGCCTTGGTCAGCTGAATGCAATCGGCAGCAGCGTGGCGGCGCGCTCTCTTGGCCTGAGGGAGATGGAGCGAAGGGCACGGCAGAAAATAGTTTGAGTGATGCCTCTGCCGGGTGAGTAATGAACAGTTCGCGCGGGTCAACTCATTACACGAGCGGCCGTTTAATTATTAATTACGTGCAGCAATCTATAGCAGAAAGGACACGTTCGGTATGTTTAATGTGTGTTTATGCTTCCCTCTCCATCGCTCTGTGGCGTTCTGTTATTAGCATGTGTCAGTGAGTAGCTCAAGCAGAGAGGAGAAGGGAGAGAATCCCCCACCACACACACACACACAATTAACACAATTACTTATTAATTACTCACATAGCGGTGGAAAGCGCATTTAAATGTTGTAGTTACCGTAGCCTACAGGCTTTAACTAAATGCTGAGGAGGCGATGCAATTTTGGTGATTGTTTGAGTGTGTTAAAGATGACCTTTCATATTACTTCAGATCTGCTAATTTAATGACACAATCAGCTGAGGATTGCCATACAGCCATTCAGATCATATGTTTCTGTTACCTTGCCATCTTTATTTTAAATGAAAAAGGAAAATGGTGGCCTGGGGTGAACGTGTAGGGCTGCTGTTGAGCGAACAACAACAAATTTATAAAAGCTAGTAGCCTGGATTTCCCCATGCTGCCTTGCCGCAGCGCGATTTTATCCACGCTGCTAGGCAGCCTGGACACCATAAACCAAATTTTCGCAAGACGATGACAATGTATATGCGACACACCGAAGCAGTTTTTTTATATCTATGAATCAATCCTTGCAGCGGATGCAAAAGTTACCTTTTGATACAGCATTTGTGTATACATAAATCTCCTAAATCTCTGACTTCTCTGAAATCTCTCAATTTTCTGTCGCTCTACATACGTCATCTGGTATCATTGAATCGATTGGCTATGAGCTACGTACAGGCGCATTTGATAGACATTCGTAGCACCCAATAATATGGCTCTTGGCATTCGTAAACCACACCTCAAATACGAGAAAATGAACATGTGGTTTCCAGACCTCATCTCATTCTCAATGATACGTGGTCTGGCGTTAGCCAGGCTAAAAAGACAGAGCATAACACAATGGGAAAGAATGTGGGGTTTAGACTTTTTTTTTTTCAACTATTTTGAGCTTAAAAATACAAAGTTCATGTTCAGCTGCAGTTTTATTGATAATAGTTGGAATGCACGATAATAATAAAATGAACAAGAACGGAGTGATCTGTTTTTGCAAATTAACTCTTCTGTTGTAAATGTCCCAAATGGGTGTGCAATAGATCAATCGATATAGTCCTGAATCGAATCGAAATCATACCGCAGAATTTTTTGAGGTATCGGCAAATATCGTATCGCTGGCTGAAGGAATCGCTATCATATCATCATTAACCGTCCGATTTACACCCCGAGTGAAATACTGCATTCAACTCCACATACATGCCAGAGTTAGGCATATCAGGTTATATCAGAGAAGTGAGTTTAACACAGAGCTGTATCTATTTCGAGGAATATCTGGGTTTAACTGACCCTTCAAAAAGACGAGGGTGAGAAAAAGTGTCAGGGTTTAGCTGGGTGTATTTTAGCGCCTAACAGATGTCAAGGTTAATGCAACAACTCTGTGGTCCATAACCCTCAGTTGTCCAGAGCCCTGTCATGCTACATTAAACCAGCAAACTGTGTGTGCGCGTTTCATTTTTTTTTTTTTTTCAAGTGTGTAAGAGATTGAATAAGAAGAGAGAGAGAAAAAGACAAAGAAGTGATTTGAAAATATTGAGCTGCAGTGTGCACTGTGTACAAATAAGAAAAAATATTAAACAGTTCATAATTTAGTCACTTATTTATTAACTATGATGATTATTTTACAAGTCAAACCCGGAGTTAAGCCAATTGTTCTGTTCACGGCCTTGACATCAGCACGGCCGAGCTCTCGAAAGCTTCAGCTCTTCAGAGCTCAACCCCTGAGCTGAGCTGATAATACACCTCGCTTCATTAGGAAACAAAATATCAGCTTTCCACCCCATTAGGGACGGTTTCGTACATGGGACACAGACTCACCTCATCAACAATGCACTGCAATAACTGAAGAGGCTGTGATAGAGGGGGGTAGGAGAAAAAGAGATTAGACCCCATACAACATCCTTACAGTGCAAAGGAAATCAAATCATTAATGCAATAAAACAGGTAGCAATACAGCTTAATCAAATGCACTCTGACTCGAGAAAAGCCATTTGATCTGTAATGTTTTCTTATTTCTAATGGCACCTCATCTGAATACAGGCTGTTAAGACAGAGCGTATTATTATCTGGTATTAACTTCCGAGGGAGGCAACCAAGCGAAGTGAGGAGAAAACTGCAAGGGGTTGCGAGAGGAGCTGCCTACATCTCTGAAAATACATGGGAAAAAAACACTTACCATTAAGGAGCCCTGGCTCTTTTGAATCTGTATAGAGAAAAAAATAATAGAGAAAGGGATTTAGGTGAGAATAAGTATGCGAGATCGAAAGCAAGCTACACCCAATTAGCATGTTACAATCACAAGCATTGCACCAGACCATGTTTATGATCACAGGCAGAAGATTAAAAAAACTGATGGCAATATATGGGCATATATGAAACTAAGTTTTCCTAATGAAATTGGGATAAGATTTACCTAGCATTTTTTAAAATAATTATTAATGTCATTTTCCTGCATTTTATTCAGCTCCAGGTTTAAATGTTTGACTACACTTATGATATACTCGACATGACAGTCCGGGGATAAAATAGTGCGTTATTACTTTGACAATCTTGACATAACTTGTTAAACAGGCATTGTTTTATATTCATATGCGCATTTTAATGTGATAATAATGCGATAACAATAAAACACATAAGGTTTCTACATAGCATTTCTGTTGGAAAAGGGAGTCCCAGTTAAAACCCTTCAGGTTTTTTTCAATTTCTACTTTGCAACCTCTTTAAATGGATACAACAATCATCTGAGAGGGAGATAATCTAAGTAGAAGATAGAGAATGCTTTCCCATATTTTGCAGGGATTTTTTTTTTTTATCTGCTTGCACAAGGCCAATGCTCCGCTTATGCAATCTGATCAAAACATTCTGCCTGGACTGCATAATTTAAGCAAGCAGCTAATGGTCTGAGGCCACTCTGATGATATTACACAAGTCATTGATTCTCTTTCTCAATTATACACGGCCCAGCTCTCTTTAAATACCAGTAGACACTGGACCTTTAATGTACAAATTGGTGACCTTGACGTGATATCGCAACAGGATTTCGCGAGCAACGTCCTTTCCAGCAAAGTATGGGTTTGAACATCTCCTTTTTGTTCTGCCACTGTGGTAAGTCAACTTTTTCTGCCCTTTTTAGAAGTTTTTGAGAAAATGTTGTTTGCACCGTTACGGGTCGGAAAGCCCTTTGTTTAATCCAGAACTACTGTATGTGATACTGGCGGTGCAGATGAAGAATGAAAAACCTTGTTAATAGATTTTAAAGATCATCTTGTTTGGTTAAGCAACAAGAAACGAAACCTAAAATTAGAATAACATTTTACAAATAATTTCTGGTAGCCTCAACGAAGAGCTGTAAAGTAAAGCCTAAAAGTTTTCAAATCAGCCGCATGTTTGTCGCCATTGTTATACGGACTTGTTGAAATAGAACGAGTAAATATCAGAAAGAAAATTTTCAGTTTATAAACTATCAGGAAACACGTGATTTTATAAATAAAGACAGGTTGATGCATTGTTTATGAAAAGCAAAATTTAGAAAATTTTAAATAGCATGATATGATTTACAGGCTCAAAATCATATCTCAAGGCTAAGCTAAATGCTAATGTCCATGCTGCATCCAAAACACTTAACCCTTTGTGTCACCGGCCCACCAGTTTCTTTTTTGAATGGCAAAACTTTCTGCCTGAACCGCATAATTTAAGCTAGCGTTCTGAGGCCACTCTGATGACATTACACAAGTCATTGATTCTCTTTCTCAATTATACACAGCCCAGCTCTCTTTAAATACCTGGAGACACTGGACCTTTAATGTAGGAACTAAATAACACACAGCATTGCCTAAAACTGCGAAGCAAGGCAATCACAGGACAATTAAAGGCATAAATATTTGTCGTATGCGCTATTTTCCAATTAAACCACTGGAGTAAGATGAAATACTTAAATGTGATCTCCACTAAACAATCAAGACGACTTTAAACACGACCATAAACTCAGCTACTTTTTAAAAAAAAATGTTAAAGGGCTACAATTCCTAAAGGTAAAACAGTGTGATTATTTATTTAAAAAGAAGCTTTTTCCGAAGTAATAAATAAAATGATTATTTCAGTAGGTTTTACATGAAATGACATTTCCGTCTTTCTACTTTGAAATTTCATGTTTAATTTTCTTAGTTTAGTTTCTTTGTAATTTTTTGTGAAATGTACTAGTGATTTCAAAGCATAAAACAATTCTGTGAATAGATAGAAATGAGCTAAATAACACATTTAAAAAAGATTATTCTCCAAACCAAAATAGTGAGGTTAAATATACAATCAAACCAACTTCACTACACTCAAAGATTGCTGCTATTTGGTAATGACACTGGGGCGGATCTCTGTTTGTATCGCTCCATGGGTCTGTGTTGGAAAATTTTCCAGACCAAAATATGTGAGATGTGCAGAGTAAAAGCAGAGTTGCGTTATTTTGCCTGAGCCACCAGTGTTTTCGTTCACTCCAGGAATGTTCACAATGAGTTTTCACGAATGACCATGTGGCGGAAAATAAAAAACCTGAAGTGGAGCTAGAGCAGAGTGATTACACAACACTTGGGCCTAATTTTTCCTGAACTGCAAGTTACTCAATATTAACAGTTTACAGAATTGTTACACAAAATCAATATCACACTCAAAATGATTATAATAAATATGGCCACGGCTGTGATTACCTGATTACCTAGCCCCAACAGCTTGTTGTACAACAACACTCTTGCTAGGGTGATATTGCTTAAATATAGCATTAAAGCTCTAGGAGAGCAAAATCATACAGTATATTCAGATGAATATGGGGCTTAAAATGAGCTGAAACCAAAACAGCCGGAAAACAGAAAAGGCAACAACAAATCAATCAGGAGGAGAAGCGCTGGAGGCTGTATACACACGCCAGCCAGTCTGCAGTCTTCAAAGATTTTCCGAGCGAGCCATCGGGAGACGCCATTAACTCCTGACAAAGAATGCAAATTAATCCCAACATGGGGTGAGACGAAATTAAAGAGCCTTTTATAATCAATGACAAGATAACACATAGAAAACACACACACACACACCCTTGCAATCACGCATGGACTCGCACACAAAACATCGGCAGATTTGTGGCTCTGAGTGTGGGTGGAGCGGGGGCAGGGCATCAAAAGTGTATGCAGAAATACAGCGGCCATCTCTCGAGATCTCACCGCACAATGGACAATGACTCTGCGAGCATGTGTGTGTGTGTGTGAGAGAGAGAGAGAACAGACAGATGCCTGGGCTGATGTGAGTGACAGGCCAGGCCTGAGGTAGCGTGTGTGCTGGCTGGGTGGTGTGTGTAAGCGTGTGTGTGTGATGCCTGCAGGTGAAGAGTCTGCAGCACCATATGGAGCTGTGAAAATTAACATCAAGAGCAAAAGCGCTCTAGCAGTGGGAGGTTTAGCTCTCCCTCTCTTTCTTACTGACTAACCCCCTCCCTCTTTCTCCTTCATGCTTCTCTCTCGCTTTCCCTCTCCATTTTCATTCCATATGAATTCAGAAATGCAAGAACAGAGAAAAGGGATAGTCAGAAAGATTAAAGGAGGAAGTAATAAATTAATGGGGTGTGTATACATGAAATGCTTCAGTATAATGCCTCTGGCACTATGGGCCTAGAAACAAAAAAAGTTTTGCCATTCATTGGTTTCAATCGCTATCACTTTAACTGAAAATAATATATGAAGATGCCTTCGGAGAAGAACCGCAGACCTGAATGGGTTTCACACATTCCCATGTCGCGGTCTATGAGTATTTTTGTTGTTGTTTTGATTACTTAGGTACAGACCAACTGCTAAAAGACACATTTCAGAAGAGAAACACTGTACAATATTTAACATTAAAAGATACAATAATGGTTCCAGACACTTTGTGTGTATGAAGGAGTGCTAGTACATGTGAATACATTAGTTTATGTAATAATACTCAGTGGATTAACATGATAATGGCCCTGTTAATAGATAATGCTGGAGAGCAGAGAAAAACAATTTCAAATAAGACGAGCCTCCAGGCCCCGGGATAATGCACACACAAATGCAGGCCTGTAGCCTTCTAATGTTATTTCTACCCATCAACTGTTCATCATCCCAAACAGTTTGTTCATCCTATATTTTGTCTTTCTATTCGGTTACAAATATCTACACTAAAAATGTGTTAGACCTTATGATAAATCATAGCGCTCCTCATCAAGTCCTTTAAATTTCATGTATTGCCCATCAATTGTATTTAGTAACTTTTGCAATAGTGCGCATCAAGTGATGTGTGAGATAAAGCCCAAACACACACAAAGCCAAGCCCAGCCTCCGTGACTGTATGATGCTCAAGGCTTTGGCTCTAGATGCAGCCTCAAAATGTTCCTTTCTGATTTCCCCTGCATGCCCTGAGTGGCTGCTTTGTTTTAATATGCTAATTAACCCAACAGGCATGCTGGGAGTAATTTATTGAGCATTAGTCAACATTTCCCTCATTAAACTCACTGCACTCTTACATGAAGAACTTTAAAAGCCAAGAGTCTGATTAGAAAAAAAAACTAGGGCACTGAATCCGAATCGGGAATAGAGTATATTTCTACATACACACATCTGAAAATCATCAAAGTCATCAAACTAAATAATTTGAAATGTATTAATATTAGTTAATGCATAAGGCATTGTGAACAAACAATGAACAATCCTAAGACTCAGCATTCATGTACTTCATACTGTTGGGTAAAGGATTTTCCTCTTTGTTCTTGAACATTTGATGGTTTGCACTGATTATCTTTCAATTGATTATGAAATTGTAATAATACATTTGCCTGACATAATAAATTGTTATATTTGATTATTCTAACAGACTTTGACTTCTCTTCATTAAAGATAAAGTTAAGACGAGTTAAAAGGAATAGTCAAACATTCACGTAGATTTAATGATGCACAGATATCATTGAAAAACATTGTCATGTATGGAGTCAGATGAAATAATGAGTTAATACAGAAGATAAAATGTATTGCATTCAATTAAAAATCCCTTTGCCATGAGAAAAGATGGAACACGCGTGAGACCTTCACCACTAATCGAATACCGCCATTGGATCGAATTAGACGGCCTTACACACGGACGAACTGAGAGAGATAGAGGACGACGACTGAACCTACGAAAGTAACAGTGTTGAATCCTAGCAATGCAGATGTTTTACAAGCCATTCAAGAAATGGACAAACGAGTTACAAGTAAAATCGACGGTGTTATGTCAGAACCCACGCAAGCTCACTTGTCTCAGACAAAGTCGACAACATGGACAACAGAAACAGAAGGATCAACCTAAGATTGGGTTTGCTGGAAAAAGAAGAAGGAAACGACACGAGTGAATTTTTAGAGGCCTGGATTCCAAAAATATTGGAAATGGAGGCACATCTTTAGTCAAAGAGCGCACATATAGAGTGGGTCCACAACGAAACCTAGGTGACCAGAGCACAAGACGAGATGACAGTACATCATCATCAAGAACACTATTGATTAAGTTCTTGAACTTCAGACAAAAAGAACAGGTGCTGAGAGCGGCTAGGTCCAAGGGAATGGTTACATACAAGGAACACACTCTTCGTTTTCATCCAGATGTTTCTGCGGAAGTTCACAGGAAGCAGAGAGCTTATGATGGTGTGAAAGAGAGGCTCCGAGAGAGAGGAATCAGTAACCTGCTCGTCTACTTGTTACACACCAGGAGAAATCAAGGGTGTTTGACACACGACTGGCAATGGAAAGCTACATTGAAGAACTAGACAGAGTAAAGGTGGGGTTCGGTTCAGCTGGAGTCGGACTATTACAATCTGGAAAGTAGGTTGCTTTAAAATAATTAAGATTATATTACACAAATACAGTTATCCTCTTTTTGTGGTGAGGACTGAATAAATAGTAATGGAATTGATTTTGACTGTAATTAAGCATATTCATTTGTTATTGTTCTATGGAGGTGTGAAAATGTGTGTTTATACTTTAAAATAAGTGAGAATAATTTTACAAACAGGGTTGTGAAAATAAATAAATATAGGCTAAGTACCTGATAGTTCATCACGGTTGTGTGGACCAGTCAATGTCATATAAGGAGTGTAAGAGTGTGTGGGGGTTTAAAAGGCAGCATCATGGATGCTACTGGGAAAAACAGGAATGTTGGAAATGTTGGAAATGTAAGGGATGGTTGGGGAGACCGCGAATGTAAAATTTTTAACCTGAATTGTAGAGGATTGAGTAACTTAAAAAAAAATGAAGAATTAAAAAATTAAAATTAAAAATGAATGACTTCAATTCATGAATCAGTCCCAATACAGGTTCAGAAGGTAACTAAAGATCCACTAGGAAGATATATCTAAAATGTTTTTCAGAAAGTATTAATTTAATTAATGTATATGATGACAACTACAAATTTGCTTTTGCTAAATCTTATCGCAGGGGATGAATTGTGTACTAGATCCTTCTAAAGAACGTAACAAAGGGATTGATTAAACGCATAATAAAGCTAGGAAGTTGATACAGGAATTTAAGAAAGACCTTAATTTATCAGATGTTTGGAGGGATAACCCATCAGCTGTATCATATTCATGTTACTCTGGTATGCATCAGACATACTCCTGTATTGATTTTTATTTTTTTGAGGTTGAAACTACATTTTTATGAATATGGAGATAAAACCGGACTGTTACTTGCATGGAAATTCCGACAACAAACAGAACATACCATCACAGAAATTGGGAGTTCAACAGGAACTATAGTTGACACTAAAGAGACCAATGAAGCATTTAGAAATTATTATAAAAAAACTCTATAGTTCAGAGTGCTCATTACATTTGGATACACAGACAGACACAATGTTTAGATAGTCCAAATACCACAGATTTCAATTGAAGAAACACACAAATTGTATGAAGACCTCACATCACAAGAAATTGGAGAAGCCATTGATTCTTTGAAACCAGGAAAAGCTGCGGGCCCAGATGGGCTCCCTATAGACATTAATACGTTTAAAAACAAGTTATTAACCCCCTTTTTGGAAATGATGGTAGAGGCCATCATCAAGGCCTTCTTCCTACATCAATGAGAGGAGCTTTAATCACATTATTTCCAAAACCAAGAAAATAAAACAAAGTATGAAAATATGCGGTCATTTAGCTTGTTAAATTCCGACACAAAAATAATATGTAAAGTTCTAGCTAAGAGGTTAGAAGGTATTCTACAAAAATAGAATAGGTGAAGATCATAATGGTTTCATAAAATGCAGAGAAGGATTTCATAATGTTCGAAGAGTCCTAAATAATCTTCATGAACAGAGGGGTGAACGAGATACTGCTCTCCTATCATTGGACGCCGAAAAGGCATTTGATAGGGTTGAATGGTCTTATTTGTTTGATTAGTTGTTTAGATTTGAATTTGGTGAGGAGTATTGCAACTTGCAAGTGGGTTAGGTTACTCTATAATAGCCCTACAGCAGAAGTGTTGACAGATAATATGGTTATAAAACCATTTAGCATATCAAGAGGGTGCAGACAAGGTTCACCCCTTTCTCCTCCTCTTTTTGCCATCTCCATCGAGCCTTTTGCACTAGCAGTAAAAAGACGTGGAATTAACACGTATTAGGATTAGACAGATAGAACATAAAATATCATTATTCGCTGATGATGTAATCCTTTTTCTAAAACATCTTGATACATCAATACCTGTGTTATTAGATCTTAATACATTCAGAAAAATTTCTGGATGCAAAATTAATAATTCTAAAAGTTCCATTCTATATCTAAATGAGATTGACAGACAGCAACCTAGTAAGTGTGCTGCAACCTTCAATGTTGTTGATTGCTTCACATACATAGGTGTAAAAAATTTACCAAAATTAGAAGAAATTGTGCAAGTAAATTATGAGGATTACAGGCAGTTTGGACATAGGTTTCAAGATTTGGGCAGATAAGGGCATACGTAAGATAGCAGATCTATATGATAACAACACTCTTATGTCTTTTGAGAAAATAGTCAATACTCGATCAAAGTATCTACAAATAAGAAATTTCATACTCAAAATCACAAAATAATTCTCTGTATACCCCATTCCCAACATTATCTGTCTTAGAAAAACATTTTTTTCAAGAAAAGGTTTAATTTCATCATAGAATATGCTGGTGACAGGATCTAAGGACTCTTCAAACTACAAATAAAACTGGAAGGTTTTATATTAACGAGGATATTCAGGAGGAGGACTGGATGGAAGCATGTAAAGAGGCTCAATCACAAACAATGAACACGCGTCTGAAACACTTAGCAATATAAGTGGTTGATGCGGATTTATATAACTGCAGTTGTACTGCATAAATATAAATGTCCCTGACACTTGCCTAAGATCCATTGAGTCTAAAGGAACAATATATCATCATTGCATATGGGAGTGCGAAGAAGCCAAAACCTTTTGGAAAGGTGTGTGTGAAAGAAATGATAGAGAAGATTCTTGATGTTAACATCCCATTGTCACCTTCATTCTTTCTATTACATTTATTTCCTAAGGAGATCAAGTTAAAAAAGAATGAGTATATATATATATATATATATATATATATATATATTTATTCCTTCAAGCAAAACGGCTTATTTCTTTAAATTGGAAGAGTATTTGTTCACCAAGTATAGGACGTTGGCTAAAATAAATGTTAACAAATGTAAATGGGAAAGATGATAACATTTTTTGATGGAGATTGGAGACTTTTTAGACCATTGGTAGACTTGGAAAGGTGTTGATAAAAGACTAAGAAAAGAGGAGGAATAGAATAGCAATGTAAAATACTGAGAGGCTGAAATACTTTTTTTTTTCATTCTTGTTTTCTGTTACATGGAATTGTATATGTTCATGTGTTTAGTTCAAAAGCAAAACCAACAATAAAAAAAAATAGTAAAAAAAAGCCCCAAAAGACAGATGATTAAGTGCTAAGAATCATAAACTATGTCTACTAACTATACAGTTATAGATCTAACTTATTCACTAAGTTTCTTTAACAACAATGATCTTGTTCAATTAAAAATAGAAGTAATTTAGCAAATACGGTTAAAAACTTATATAGCAGTTTAAGTACGTACAACAAAGTACATTAAATATAATACACAACGTGTATATCATGTCATCCTACACTAACAGGCACCATAAATTGACATGCTTTAGGCATTGGTGCCATGTGGTTCCTAAACTAGGAACCCTCCAAATCAATCCGGATTATAATCCGGGTTTGTCATTCTTAAACTGGGATAATCTTGATAAATCCCTGCATGAAATCTGATTACAGGGTTGATTGGATTGAGGAATGGAACGGGTCAGCAGGACTGTATATAATAAGCTGAGTAAACAAGGGTGGGATGAGCAGTTGTGGGATGAACAGCGAGTTAATTGCTGCCCATACACTAAAATCATAAGGGAACGTTTGTCGGAATGTTGAGAGAAGAATTCAAGAGCTAAACATTAAATTGGTTAACCTGGTATCTGGTTTGATGAAGCAGACTCACCTGTGGATATGGAAAAGAGCCCAGCACCAACTGTGAATGAAAGAACAGAGGGAAAGTTCACTTTTAATGAAGCACACAGGTAGTCACATACTTAGACTTACAAAAACCTCCATAAGTACATGAGCTTTCACACATACAGCAATGATGGACAATTTCTCAAACAGGGTTTCTGGACAATCAAATGTGCTTAACAGAAACATATTAAAATAAATTACACATAGAATTTAAATTGTTACACCTGAAGGGGATTTGTTTTCAGGCTTGTTAAATGCAATTAAATGACAACGCATAAAAAGTTAAAATTTATTTGAAATGTAATGACACTTTAGAGTTAAGTAGGACTTAAGTAGATTTTTATATGTTATTTCATAATTCTATTGTCTTAGAAATGTGGTTAGAGTACTACCCAACATACTGACCAGCATTTATGGTACTAAAAACACCTTTAAAGGAGAACTCCGGCGCAAAATAAACATTTGGTCTAATAAAACATCGGGACCTAGTAAACCGTTCTCTGAGATTTGTTTTCATGATAATCGAATGTAAAGAGTTTTATCTCTAAAAAAACTGTTTAGCATATAATTCTAGTACAGGGGGCATTTGCCAAGTAAAAATAAATCGCTAGTTTATACCAATAACAAGGCTCAAAATAGCCCCACACTAACACAGTAACATAATGAGGGTCCATAAATGCAAAACGAATAATTGAGAACTTTGTAAGTGTACTGACCTTTTAATAAGAAGATACCTTATAAAGACAGTTCACTTAGTGTATACAGACAGGAGCCATCTTAGAAAATAGTCTTGATAAGTTGATCCCCGAACGCCGTTCATACTCTTCGAAGTTCGCTGAACTTCATACAGTTCAGCTCACTCAGCACGACGTTCGTGGTTTGTAAGAGAACGGTTGACTAGGTACCGATGTTTTATTAGACCAAAGGTTCATTTTGCACCCGGAGTTCTCCTTTAATGTCATTTCTATTGAAACTTAAATGAACAACACACTACAGTTCTTACTTCATTATTTTTTAATAGTGCGACAAAAGACTAATAAAGATAATTTGAAATACAGTATTATACCATTTTGTTCCATCCATTATTATGGTTATTACAGTCAATCGGATTCAATCACGCATTTAAATATGGTTGCCATTCCAGAAATGTTATTCCAAAGTGTAGTTAGCAGCATGAAAAAATATATATTATATACAGAAAGCAAGCAAAGATCTGTAGCATTTAATCACTGAAGATTTCAATTAGAACGCAGGGTTCACAAAGACGCACTTTTGCGTAAACTCCCGTTATAATCAATGAATCCATTTCCTCTACGTTTTGCAATGAATCTCTTATAGACATGGTGCAAAAACATTGTAAATAGAAAACTTTGAAGCCTAGAAAAACCCTGCCTACATCCCAGCATCACAGCAGGTGTATATACTTCAACAGACATTAATCTCTGAAGACTGCAACACATGCTGGAGATCATCAAAGAACAGATGTAGAAAAGGCAACAAAACCCAAAAGCAAAAGTCTTATCTATTTTCAAACCATACTTTGATTACATTCCAGTTACATTTAGAAATTAATCCATTTCAAACCACAGTGCATTCATTTATTAAATCAAGCATACCCATCCCAGTTCAGGAGGTGGCTTCAGTTCATTGGTTAAAATGGTCATTTAATGGTACATGCACTTTTTCAAGTTGATTGTACTGAAATGTGTGTTGGCAGTGCCTGTACACAACCATATAATGATACAAATCTATCCAGTGTTTTTAATTGATCTCCTTATACGTTTTCCCCTGCCTCAAATTGAGCCGTTCGTTTTTGTGACGTCAATAAAACGGACGCCCCCATGTTGATTGACAGCAGTGTTTCAACATATCCTCGACCTGAGCGAGTTGTCATCCGTTCACTGTTGATACACTGCAGAGCAGAATGGCGTCTTAAGCGATTGTGAAATTCTGTTCTTGGGTGTAATAACGAACACAATTATTTTGATGTTACTAAATCCAAAACGCTGAGGACACAGTGGCTGAGTTTTGTTTTTAAAGGGAATATTCCCCATGAGCAACGTCGATGCTCTCATGTTTACGCGAATCATTTCTCACCAGACTGCTTTATAAACGAGGGTAAGTATAAAGCTGGTTTTGCTAAGAAGCTGCTCCTGAAAAAAGAATCTGTACTAACTATTCGTGTTCCTGCTGCACCTCCAGAAGAAGTGACAAATCACTTCTTCGTTGTCAAATCGCCCGCAGAACAGAGAGGCGGAGTGAGCGAAGCTCATTATCATTTAAAGGCACATGCACTGAAATCAGAGCTGTTTTCAACCAGGTAAAGTTAGTGTTTTCTTACAATACTAATGAGAATTTTTAATTAAAGTACAAGTCATTTATACCCAAAAGAATCAAATTAACTTGTATGAAAATGGCATTGTAAGACCCCTTTAAGAATTTTGCCAAAAGAACAGAGGTACTTCACCTGAACCGCCTAAACAATCCAGGCATTGAGACGAATCGATCACGTCCCTGACTACATGGTGAGGTCAATGCTGAATCATAATCAGATCAATATACTGTTCATCAACTCATGATGATGTCAATCCATATGACTCTTCCCACCCTAAACATCTCACCGATAATATCTAACAGTATTGATAAAAGCAATCAAGGGATTGACTTAAGGTATACAATAACAATTCATCACAGCCAATGAGAAGCGCTGACAATAACAAAACGGGAATCAATAAAGCCAATGAGAACTACCAGCACGGCATTTTCAGTACACGAGTCAAACCACCACACTGAAATCTAATCCACTCATACGTACATTTCATGCTGCTGGTTTCTGCTTAGAAAAACATCCATTACAAAATAAATTTGCTATACTCATTCAACTCTCCTCTCTTCTTTTTTAGGAACACACACACCTCTGAAGTAGAGAACACAGCACTCTAATTACTGGACGTTCTGCTGGCTGAGTGATTGATAGCGTTTTGCCACACTGACTCCACATCTTTCACCGTTACACACACACAAATACGCATTCTCATTCTCAATGTCTCACTACACACAGACACACATTTCTTCCTTCATAAACAACCATAGTATTTATTTATACTCTTTTTTTATATAAAGAAACCACAAACACAAAATCTCATTCCTTACTCTATGTTCGAAATGGGAATTCAAGAGAAATGATCCAAAAGGATAGTAGAGCATTAGAGAAAGAGAGAGAGGGAGAGAGAGAAAGTGTGTGTGTGGCAGTCAGTGGGAGATCTCAAGTGTGATCCATGCATAGCTTTAGGCCAACATCTGTTTGGACAGGGTGCCTGCAGGGACTATCAACAGCACTCAGCAGAAACACTAAGACACCAGTCCACTCGATCTATGAATGCTGGGCCATGTGTATATGTTGGTAAGTGTGGGCGATATGACCAAAATCTTATATCACAATATTAGAAACTTTTTTTCACGATAAATATACATCACATACTATATAGTTTTTATTGTAGTTTTATATTTTTGCTTTAAAAAACATTTTTATGATATGAACATTTTTGTTTCATAGTTCTTGTCATCACTTTTAATATCACGAAAAACAAATACTTGTCTAACTAAAAAACGGGAAAAAAACTCAAAGCTTACTAAAGACATACACTCGTGCATTTTCTTTTGCAACTGTTTATGTTCACTTAAGACATAAATAACTGTGTTTTTCAACGATGGTAATTTTGGCACAAAAGTATGTGTATATATATATTATTCAAGCCCATGTAGGGAGCAAAGAGAACTCTGTTCAGTTCTTCTCACATGCTTTATGAGCAGCAGCTTTATGTGTAGTACGCATCTTTCAGACAGCGTTTAGAAGCCTTCTCTCTGACAGCATGCGCATATAGAGATATGTTGTCTTTCTCTGCTTACTGGAGATGCGCGGATGGGCAATTATTTCATCCGTAACCGCATCACAAAAGTCATCAACCACCCCGGCATCCATCCGCACCAACGTTTTTGACCAATTTTCGAAACCACGCTGATTGGGCGATACAAGGCGCTGTCGATGACAGTCGCAAGACTAAAAAGCTTTAAGAACAGGCTTGTTTGAGATGTTGATGTAGTCGAGAGTAGGCGGCTGCAGTGAGGCGAGGAGTGAAAAAAGTGCAGGCAAGCCGGACAAATCTCGCTTCTCGCACGTTCTCGCAGAGGATCGGACACCTGTGAGAACAAAGGCGGATATCGCGGGATTTACAGGATTCACGCCCATGCACGGTGTTACTAATAAACTGGATGTAATTTAAGTTTCGTTGCTTTTATATGAAAATAAATATAATGAACAAGACACCCAAAGTACTTATTCAATTCCATTTTAAATAGGCCTACGTGTTTATCAATCATTTTTTTTCTTTAATATAGACGTATTTTTATAAAAATAAAAATTAAAAAAAATTAAAACAAAATTACATCACATAAATCACACTGTCAGAGAGTTTGGGAATATCCACACATAATTTACACACATGATATCAGAGTTTTAAAATCATGATTTTAAAAGAGAACAATACGTTGCGGTTGTTTAAACCAATGAGCATTAAGCTGTGTCGTCAGCAAGTCATTTCCCGTGCTTTTGATCAGCACAGTCAGTGGAGAGTGCAGAATCCGACACGTGTGCCTTGCGGTCTCAAAAGTTTTTTGACATACATCAGCATGACATCAGAGCAAGGCGGACCACACTCAGACACATTTCTAACTGGCATGCAGATTTTGCTCAGCAAAAATAAATGAATAGCTTAAATTAAAACCACTTTGACAAACCTGACCTTATCTGATAGGCTACTCTACAATATTTTCATTGTAGCCTAATAGAAAATGCACTTTGCAACATGGATGTTGTTATTGTTGATGTTGCATTACAACATGCTGCTATTGTATGGGACGTCGTTTGTAAAGCGGTTCACTCTGAAAATAACAGCAACTTTGTCACACTTAGCTTCAAACAGTGTTTAAAAAACTGGTATGAATTTTTGACGGTCACTTCATATAACAATCATATAATAAACTATAGAGCCTCAATATTGCCTGATGAAAATTTGACTATTTCAAAGCGTGTTAAATGTTTTGGGGGGGATTTAGGTATAGTCAGATAATAATATTTAACAATGTATACATTTTCATTTGATTGGTTCAACTGCCCGTCACCCACCCAAATTTAATTAAAATATGATTTAATAGTATAAAATGATCCAATGGCCACCAAAGCGCTTTACATTTTTGCCTCTTATTCACTCCCCATTCACTCACTCATTCATACACCGACAGTGGTGTCAGCCATGCAAGGCGCCATCCAGCTCATCAGGAGCAGCTTGGGTAAGGTGTCTTGCTCATGGACACCTAGACACTTGGTCAGGTGGAACCAGGGATTGAACCACCAACCTTTCGGTTTGTAGACAACCTACATGAACCACTAAGCCACTGCCGCCCCAAATCCGCAATCATCCGCCCGATCCATGGTTTATTCGTGGCTGTAACCGCCAACCGCGCATCTCTACTGCTTACCGCTCTTCAACGGTTTTCAATCAATTGTTTTTAAACCACAATGCGTAAAAACACATTCAAATGATAAGCTTTTGTGAGTGTGCCACACAACAGCATTACATACAATAGAGCCTATATGTGGGCATTTAAAAGAAATGATTATATGACTGTTTTACCTCCATGAAAGAGATCCCTACGCTCCACACATCTGAGTGAATACCATACTGTTCCCCAGATATCCGCTCTGGCTATAGAAGCAAAGACACACAGACACATGAAAAATCATTATAAAGCAGATTACAATATGAATTGTCTTTCTAGTATTACTGGCACTGAAGGTCGAACAGACATACCCTTTGTGCAAGATGTTTAGCTATTTAACAATATGTGTGTGTGTGTGTGTGTGTGTGTGCGCGCATGCGTGTAAGTTGTACTTGTGAAAGTATTTGATTTTTTTCTGTAAAAGGCAATAGATTTTTTTTGTGTGCATAATAGGGAGATGCTTGACTGACAGCATTTACAACCAAATATGTATAACTTATAAGAAAGACCTATGCCTTCCATGCTCCCGTAAGTAGAAATACTGTCTGAAAAGAAACACTATTAAAGAAATGACTGCTGCTTACCGCCATGTATGCATTAGTTCCGACATATGTTTTAGCAATGGAGTTCACCAACTGTGGAGGAAAGCAGAAAAAAAATTTGGTTACACTTTATTTTTTGATGTCTTTGTTACAGTGTAATTATATATTTAAAGTACTGAGTAGAATTAATCAACATGAATTTAGGGTTTGGTTCAGTTAGTGGCATGTAACTATGCAAAGTTCACTGTTTTTACTATAGCAAGTACATGACAATGTAAAATAAAGTTTTACCAAAATATTTTTAGCAGGAGATCAACAAGAATGTCAAATAGAGGAAATAACATATCAACTGTGTGTCCAGAATCCTATTACTGTGGTGTTAAGTAGATTATTCAGTGCAAAGGTTGTGTCACAACACCAAAGAAAATTCAGTAATTTGGGCCAATGGCAGTAAAATTTCATGGTTCTTGGGTAACCTTGGCCTTCGCAGATCTATTTTGACTTGTTTTTGTCTGTCCACCTGTCCATTGACAAAGGTATCACTGTCTATCATTACAATTCAGGATTCAACCAAGCATTCAAATAAATCTGTCACTTCCAAAATTTTCATTGTGTATTTAAAGCATAAATATAATGAAAAATAACTTGAAACATTTTTATTTTGAATGGATAATATACAGATAGTGAGCAAAGAGCACTCCCTTTATAATCAGCATGAAGGTTTCACCAAGAAGGTATTTTAAGAAATGTCAAATGGTAAAACTGGGGCAAAACAGTAAATTAATTGATGACATGATTTTTGGGTGAACTATCCTGAAGTACCAAATTTTATTTTGGTTATGGGTATGTTCAAATCTCTAACCCCAAGTATGAACAATAGTAATACTAATGTAGCACTATCACAGTTGTCATTTAAAATGACAAGGCGACAGATAAATACATAAGGTTCAATTTGTTAGGAAAACTTAAATAATGAAAGACACTTATTTACAGCGTTTACAAATCTAAGTTCATGTTAATTTATAAATATATTTTCCTTAGTTGCCAATTTATGCTTGTTTATAATACATTAACATAAATGTATACTTGAAACTTGAAGTGTATTAAGTACACACATAAATTAACATTAACCTACATTAATAAATACTGTAAAAGCACCGTTTTTGTTCATGAAACTTAATGCATTAACTAGTGTCCATAAATTGAACCTCATTGCAACGTGTTATCTTCAAAAATACCTAACAAACAGATTCCTGTTACTCAACCAAATAGCTAATGAAGATCTTAGCAGTGACAGTATTGGATATAGAGTACCATCAAACACACACAACCTAAAAGGTGAAACATTATCCCCTAAACATTATGTGTACAGCCAACAATAGCATAGAGAAGCTGACACAATCAGTCCTCTGTTATAAGCATATTATCTCTGTTTGAACATTGAAATTCAGTACAGATGTGACAGCAGGTGACCTGAGCTCTCTGCCATAAGCTAAAGGACACAGTATGAAGAAACTGATTTAAATCTACTGAAAAGAGCGTGTTATTGTGAAGTGTTATTGAAATGCCAGCCTGGTTTAATTTTAGTCTGTACTCTCACAAGGGAGAGACAGTGAGATCCGGGCACAATGGCACATGTCAGCAATGACAGGACAAACATAATGAGAGCATTCCCCCGCGGCCTGACGTGCATCAGTGTGCGCGTGTGTGTAAGTGAATAAGAGAGACATAGGTTTACTATACAGTGTCATGGTCTGAATGGGCACAGAGGAGAACGCACACAGGCACCTCATCCAGGGGTCAGCTTCAACTAGAATCTCTTCGGGGAACATGGGTATGAATATTAATTAAAAGAAGGCTGTTTGGAGTGATTGGGCCCCATTGTTGGACTCCTGAGTGTATAAGAGGAGGGGAGAGAGCTATTGTCTCCAGCCACGCGCACACACACGCCGTCACTCACATGCACTGAATATCTGCTCAATGTGGTAATTAGAAAGAGCGAGAAGTGAGAACTGAGGAGCAATCTAAGGGGTATCTGGAGGTTAGGGAGGAAAGGCAAGAAATCCCAGGAGGAATGAGACGAAGAAGAGACATGGAGACTGATGGGACAATGGCTGATCTGACTGTGCTCACACCACAGACAGATATTCAAGACGCACTTGTGTGAGTATTTACACATTCAAGCAGAGCAGACAAACACACATGGAAACAAATAATCACAGGATACAAATCAGAACAAACCTGAGTGCTAACTCCAAAGTCACACAGTTTGACCTGACCCCGTGTGTTAACCAGCATGTTGGAGGGTTTCACATCTGCGCAGAGAAACAAAGACACACAAAATATTAGATTATGTCAGCATCGAATACCATTGTGACTTGATTACTTTTGCAGTGTAATCTGGTAGAGTGTTAAACTTTTATGTAAATTTAATAGGGCTGTCAAAAACGACTAATCGCGATTAATCGCATCCAAAATAAAAGTTTCTGTTTACATAATATATGTGGGGGCACCGTGTATAATTATTTTGTATATATATATAAAACACACATGCATGTATATTTAAGAAAAAAATATTATTTATATATAAAATATTTATATTTATATATAATATAAATTATATATAAATCTATATACAGAATATACACGAAAATATTTCTTAAATATATACAAGCATGTGTGTGTATTTATATATATATAATAATTATACACTGTACACCCACATATATTATGTAAACACAAACCTTTATTTTGAATGCGATTAATCGCAATTAATCGTTTTGACAGCCCTAAAATTTAAACAATCCTCTTTGCATTATGTACATTGTAGAAACTAACGCTCCTTTTATGAATATCATTGTGTGTTTTAAAAATTAGGGGCACAATCAGCAAATTAACAACAAAAGTATTACACATTTTTGTGTCACATAAAATGTCTAATTATAAACACTTGATTTACGTGATATCATTACACGATTTAGATTGGCATGTACGTGTGTATTATCACACTTACAGTTCAAAAGTTTGTTTTTGTTCTTGAAAGAAGTCTCTTATGTGCACCAAGATTGATAAAAATATTATTACAATTTGAAATAAATGGTTTCTATTTGAATATATTTTGTAATGTAATGTATTCCTGTGATGGCAAAGTTACATTTTCAGCAACCATTTCTCAAGTCTTCAGTATCACATGATCCTTCAGAAATCATTCTAATATGATGATTTGGTGTTCAAGAAGGATTTCTTATTATTATCAATGCTGAAAAGTTGTGCTGCTTAATATTTTTGAGGAAATCGTTAGACATTTTGTTGATTTGATGAATAGAACATTATTATTTACAGTAACTTTTGATCAATTTAATATGACCTTGCTGAATAAAATTATAATTTTGTTTTAAAAAGAAATCTTACCATCCTCAATTTTAAACAGTACTGTACTTAATTTACTTCTAAATACACATGCCTAAATTACCTAAATGAAGATCTTAGATTGATAGCAAATATTTGGATATTATTTCAGATGTTATTCAAGTTACATAAAAGAGGCTCTCTCACCTCTGTGTAAAATCTTCAGGCTCCAGAGGTATGTTAATCCTTTAACCACCTATTGACACACACAAACACCCATACTCTTTAAAAAACTCAGAAGAGACTCGAAAGGGTGTGTCTACGTCGACTGTCTGTAGAGGATAAAGCTGTAAATTATCTAAACAGCGGCATATCTTTGATTATTGTGAGAAAGTGTGAAGGAGAGGGTAATGAGGGTCAGAACCGGGTGCAAATGACAATTCAGCACTAATAAACTGTTACAAAGAAAAAACACACACGCACATGGCCGGCGCATTATTGCACTTATATCAATAAATCATGTAGCTCACCTTATTGCGTGCATAATAATTATATACACCATATATTCATTTTTACAATATTTTTAACCACTATGAGGAGCTGTGCATGTGCAAGTGATGGGATTTCAGGTGTATGGCCGGTGCTTTGCCACAACTAAAGCTATCATCGATTTGCCGATTTCCGTGCATCTCTCATTGAAAATTAGCTTGAGACTTTTAGGATCACGTGTGAAACTGTCTTTATGTCGAAGTGGTAATGCTGCCACTTCCGAATCGTCCAATGTCCACTCTGGGCCTGCATATACTTATTTTATAATATAATACAGAATTTAATATGATACAAAGGTTGTGTGCAGATGTTTTATGTTGCAGAATGAAAAAAATACATGTAAAAAAATCTGAAAAAATGCTTTTATTTTAGTGCAATCTTATCAATAAAAATGTCCAGTCTTTCACATGCATCTCAAAGATCGTGTTTTAATTGTGAGTGTGAAGTGGGGGTTAGGGATGGGCAATGATTAATCGCGATTAATCACATCCAAAATAAAAGTTTGTGTTTACATAATATGTGTGTGTGTAGTGTGTATAATTAATTTGTATATATAAATACCCACACATGCATGTATATATTTAAGAAAAATGTGTTATTAATATATAAAATATTTATATTTATATATAATATTAATTGTGAATAAATATATATAAAATATATACATGCACATATTTCTTAAATATATACATGCATGTGTGGGTATTTATATATACAAATTAATTATAAACACTACACACATATATATAACACAAACTTTTATTTTGGATGCGATTAATCGTTGCTCATTCCTAGTGGGGGTGGCACAACGTTTTTTTTGCCTAGAGCAACAGTTGAGCACATACACACAGGAGTCTGAGCTGTAACGTTCTCGAATATGCCGATATCTTCCAGTTTTCAAAATTCCCTGATATGCTTACTCGACAACAGCTTCAAGACTTGAAATGACTTACTGCAACAGCAATTCTGCCCAAAACATGCTCTGGGATTCTCCAATAGACATCCAGAGAGCCTCCTACATAAAAAAAACTAATAATTCAATTAAATTTGTAGAAATGCTGAATGAGCTCTACCTGTACAAATGTTGCCTCCCAGAGATTTGACATTGTCAAAACAGATGAGACTCACCATCCATAAACTCAGTGCATATCGATATTCTGTTCTCCACAAAGAAAGCACTGTAGAACTTTATGATGTATGGAGAATCACACTGTAAACAACACAATCAAATATATCAGCACCATCACAAATCACTAACTCACTATCACCAACTTAGTCAAACTTTATCAAAGTTTATCATAACTTTCACTAACTTTATCAAAAATGTGCACTATTTATTTGATAGTGCACATTTTTTGATAAAAACAGCAAAAACAGTAACACTGTGAATTATTATTCCCATTTAAATCCACTGGATTCTTTGATGAATATAAAGCATTAAGAAAATAGAAAAGCATTTATTTGAAATAGAAATATTTTATAACATCATAATTACCCTTTCTGTCAGTTGTGAACAATTTAATGTGTCCCTGCTGAATAAAAGTATTAATTTCTTTTTTTTTTAAATATTACTGAACCCAAACGTTTGAATGGTAGAGTATGATCATTTGTAGAATGAGAAATCTGTGCTAGTTTAGGGCAATGGAATGAATAATATGGACATTTCTTTAAGGTTATGAAAATAACATTTATTTATACTTTTAGGCAAACCGTTTATAGACTATTTTGCATGATTCACCTGATGGTTGTCAAAGATGCGTTGTTATTATTAAGAAAAATGTACCACTGATGAAAAGATGAGACTTATTGTTTTCATTAAGTTTTTGGTTTGTAGTTATTTATTGTAAGCCATGTGATGCTAATGACACCATAGTATTTCATTCAATATGTGGAACTGGCTAATTATTCGATGTGATTGGCTTGTTGCTGCAAAGAGTGATTGGTATCAATTAAAGTCTATCTAGCAGCTGTTGTCAGAGCAGGTTACTGGAGCAGATGGACTAAACTACATAGGCACTGATCCCTGAATAATTCATGACACTTCTTTCATACTTATCACAGTCATACACCTCAAATACACCTAATCTGAAAGCTGAAACCCCACACAGCTCTAAATGAATGTGGTCTCCACCTGAATAAGGACTCCAAACTTTTTTTGCATGTTATTTGTAACTTTCAAGGCTATATCTATCTCTCCCTCATTCACCATCTCTCAGTTTTGACACCTTCAATGAGAGAAAGCTAACAAAGCGACATTTGAGTGCTTAAGAGCAAAATCCTCTAAATTTAGAGGAATTGAGAGGGAATACAGTATTTCACGTAGCTGATCACACACATTTTCGAAAATATGTCACTGCAATCTATCCACTGAAAAGAGGACTGAACTGCATTGAAAATAATATCATATAGATGCAGATTAAGTAATCAAGTAACCAATCATAAGGTTCAGACCTTATAAAGGATCTCAAGCTCTGACATGATTTGCTTCTGCAACTCCACCGTGATGTCAAGAGGAATAACCTGGAATACAAGCACAAGGTCATCGTTTGAACTGCCACACACTCAAATGAAACTTTCTGAACTATTTAATACATAAGCACTTATTTACAAACCATTTACATCCAAACAGAACTCTTAAGCTAAATAAATGATATCAAACACACATATGCAATTCTAGACTCTTTGCCCACCAGTGTAATTCCTTTTTTCCAACTATTTTACATCAGGTAAATACAACATTTCTGATTTTAATCATCTACATGAACTGCCTCAATACTTCTGTTTCAGCTCACTTTGAGTTTGCGAATGGATGCTTGAGACATGCTCAAAGAGTGTTCTCTTCAACCAGCATTGACAGGAAAATCAATGGTCTGCCAATTAAAATAGCAAAAATATATTCCAAGGCTGTATTTTCATCCAATATTACAAAAGTTTTGAACTAAACGGTCGTGTTTGTTACGACCAAGGCATTTGCTCTCTCGCTTCCCCACTTTTGTAATGAAGCAGCAACTAGAAGCAGCGACTAAAATGCTTCTTTAGTTAAGGCTAGATTATCAGCCTCCCACTGAAATAATTGATTACAGGTAAGGCAGTAAGGCAAGGCCACACAGTTAAAGCTCAGCAGAGATCACTTACAGCCTTAGCCAAATAGATAGCCCTGCTCGAGCAAACCCAGGCAGTGCGCAGACGGAAAGATGAGCAGACACAGCAGAAGAAATGAAAGGAAAGGAGGACAGATAGGAGATAAGATATAAGAGAAGTGAGAGGATAACTAAACAGATGTAAATGAGGATGACGAGAGAGGGGAGGGAGAGGGATAAAATGTGAGAAAAGAATGGAAGAAGTGACATAACCAAGAACAGCTAAGATGGAAAAAGAAAGAGACTCTGTGTCGTATGAGGGCCACAGGATCTCGAACATGCTTAAGTGTGGCGGTGCGTGCACGAGTGCTGGATTTGCTCTTTAACAGAGAACTATTAAGATCTCCAGCAATCATTCACTGCATCCTGCCGCAGTAAAGTCTACATGTAACAGACCCGCTGAGGTCTTGCTCCCCGAGTTCATCTCTTCTCCACTGCTTTTTTTTTAACTGGCTGTCTGATGTTCTTATTATTCCCATTAGTTGAATGTGAGTTTTAATATCATATGTTGGGTCTTTGGTATGTTTTCATGGTTTTCTATGTGAGCCAAGTAATTCTGAACAATAAGCCAAAATGCAATCTACAAAACATGTACAAAATATTTTATTAGAAAAGTTAGTAAAGAGCATCAGTGAATTCCTTTCACTTAATGTTGCTTAAGGTTCTAAAGCTTATTGACATTTGGATTGTTCTTACCTTCACTGCTACAATTCTCTTCCCAAGCAAATGATAAGCTCTGTTAAAAAAAGGATGATTTATGATTAATGACAATTCATACATCAATAAACAAGCAAAACACACAGTAAAATTTTTTTTTATATATACACACACTAACGTTAAAATCTTGGGTGCAGTGAGTTTTTTTTTTTTAAGAGTTTTTTTAATTGATTAAAAATGATAGTAAATGACATTTACAATGTTACAAAAGATTTGTATTTCAAATAAATGATGTTCTAAACTTTCTATTCATCAAAGTATAAATATATCAGTTTCCACAAAAAAATAAGCAGTGTTTTAAGAATTGATAAGAATTTTTTCTTGAGCAACAAATCAGCATAACTTATATATATTATAATATCTTATATTATAATATCTGAAGGATAACTTCAGATTTACATAAAATACATGTTTCTACATTACAATTTAGAGCTATCGGTTATAAGATTGTTAGATGTTATCCATATGTCAGATATGTACAGTTCTATACAAAACATGTAGTTAGCTAACATCATGTATTTGTTTGGGCAGAAACAATGAGCTATCATGTGATCATGTGACACTGAAGTAATGGCAGCCTTTGCCATCACAGGAATTAATACATCCAGGTAGAAAACAGTTTTTCTTGTGAATATTTCACAATATTCCTGTTTTTATTGTATTTTTATCATTTCTGAACTGCAGCCTAATAAACTTCTTTAAAAAAAAATATTACAATATCTTATTGGCCCGAAAGTATTATATAAAAAATTGACAAAAACTTGACTTAGATATTTAAAAGATCTACCTATTATATATTTGTTATCTAACACATTTAAACATATTAAAAGTGTCCAAATATTTTTGAGGCCACACTACACAAAAAACATTCAAGGATAGACATTCAATAACTGACATTTCTAGGATGGAACTTACGTTCAGTTTTTTTTTGTTTGTTTTTTTGTTGTTTTATCACAGCAACCTGAGATGTGCATCTATATGACTAAGTAAGACACTCAGGTGCTTTTTAAACATTAGTATTTATTTACAGATTATCAGCATCTTAATCGCTTCAAAAAAGAGCTCAAGTAGGGGTGTCCTCATCCTAAGTGTCAAATGCAGGTGAGGTCAACCCTGAGTCAGTCACCTGCGAAACCTCAGACATTCTGAGCTGTGGAGCGTTATCAGCTCCGTTCCCATTTCAGCGTGAGCTCTCCAGACAGGCCTCCTGTTACAGGTCGAATTAACGGCAAAGCCACAATTATTTAATTATGATCCTTGCTCATTCCGAGCAGTGGATCTGGTTACTGCAGTAGGTGCTGAAGAGGGTTTGGGTTACAATAACCCACGACACGGTCCATTCCACCAGATAATATACTATAACAACAGACAGCTGCCAAACGAGGGTGGATTCAACAACACAGGCACACTGTATGTGTGTATGAACACGAACGAAACAAACAAAAGAAAGAAAAAAGAAAAAGATTTGATTGTGGCGCTCCGTAAGTAGTTGCGTATACATCTAAAGTAAACAAATTCGTAAAGGTTTGTGTATGAGACAGTGCATGTGATTTATGGGAAATAGATGGCTGATCTTGTTACAGCTCCAGACACCTCGTAACTCCAGCAAGCCTTTAATTAATGTCGCTCTAAGTGACGCGACGGCTAACTTCCCTCATTTAGGGCGACGACACTCGATCCCATCTCACCTCAGAGTACTCTGCAGGTACACTTTACACTTCGGAAGATTCTGAGACATACAAGATACGGAGATGGCCAGTGATACACCCAATATGTGCTTTTTGGGATCACATATTATTAAATTAATATGTACATAAAATTCAATCTTAAAGACCTGGTATCACAGACAGGGCTTAGATTAAGCCAGAAGATCACATTCACACAAAAGAAAAATTACTGATGTGAATCTTGAGACAAAACAATTGCATCAATTGAATCTCAAAACAAAACAAAACCCATTCATTTCTCCCATTGACATTTTGTAAAATCCATATCTAAAGAGTATTAGAGCATTTCTGGGATAAACCAGCTACGGCTGAACTCAACATTTCATTTCCAGTGAAAAAACTAAGAGAAAATCCAAAAAAAAAAAAGTCAAGGGTACAAGCCTGTGTACATATTTTCATTTCCGAGCAAAGGAACTACTCCTCCCATAAACCACCGCGCCTCACTAAAGTCGACTGAAGCCACCCTTTTGAGTGACTTCCAAATCTGACGACGGCCACGTGAACATTTTCCTCCAGTGAATTTTATATAGTGAATGTGCAGGGAAACTCCTTTTCCTCGATTTACTGAAGCAAACGCATTTACAGCTCCACATGCTAAAACATTGAGCATCTAGCTCACTCATAGGCTGTGCTGCGGCAACTGCACATCCAATGGCGCGGGGGCATCTCACATGTGCGACCAATGAACTTAGCCCTACGTCATTACACTATCTTCAGTCTGTCACGTACCTTTGCGGGGTTTCAGACACGTGACACGACTTCCAACAATCAGATGCATCACTGTGAGATTGTTCAGGATTTTGGGTAATGAAGTACTTATCCAATTCATCGTGAATAAAAGGCATTTATCTTAAAACAAGGTGAACGTTTGCCGTTTATATGAGCATATACAATCACTTAGTAGAGCAAAAGCTGGTTTTAAGTCTACCATGTATGGTTACATTTTTATGGCTTATATCTCCAATGTCAATGGAGAAATTGTATTGAATTTTTACTTCCAGCACCAGCTGTGGGCGGGACTGTGATGCTCTATTTCGGACGAAGAAGACAGGGCTCCTATCTAATGCCTAGTTCACACTACATGATTTTAAAATGTCAGGCTGAACTGTGCAGTTCACACTACATGACTTGCTCTCAGTGAAATCATGAGTGTTCAAGTTGTTTAGCTGTTCACACAACACAACGCAACGTGATTGATCCACAACAGGAGGTAACTCACTACACGAGTTAACAACGCACTACATAGAGATACCACGATCGGATGATAAGAGCATATCATTTGTGACTCAATGAGAGCTGTTTCAGTACTATAGTACGGTCTAAATCCTGAAAATAATCAAACAAATAACGAGTTGACAACAACACGATTCTATCTGGTCTAGAAACCATGTTTTGTCACGAAAAACACGCAATAAAACGAACCAGAAATGACGCGAAACTGCAGAGAAGAACACAACACGCGAATATGGACGTCAGACAGAAACTAGTGCTGCACACTGTTTGCTCGACGATATGCTCTGAGAAAAAAAAATGCAAAAAAGAAAAAGTAAGATTTACCTGGTGTCCTCAACCCATGCGTTGCTATGATTGGCTGTACTCATGACATCACTGAGATTGAGTCGCGCGACTGCTCGAGATATCTAGCATGCTAGATATTTTTCTGAGCTCGGTGACCTGTCTGCGAGCTGTCTGCGAGCTGTCTTTGATGCGTTGTTGGCTCTTTCACACTAACGGATTGGCGAGCGTTAATCGTCCGCTAATCGCCCGCGATTTGCACGCGATAACACCCTGACTTGTCGGCGACTCAACGATTTGCAAATCGGGCTTAAATCGGGCTTAAAATCACGTAGTGTGAACTAGGCTTAAATGAATGGGCAGAGACTCAGAACTGCACTTTCACTGGTCACCGGGACATAAACACTGCTTGTATAGAAACAGTAATAAAATATGATAAAAATCACTGAAAAAGTTTGATGACTTTACTCCAAAATAAGGTTTAAAACGCCTTTTTTCCCCACAGATTACACTTTTACTGTGCATGCGCAAGTGTTCTCTCGCTCTCTGTCGTGCGCGCGCTACTGCTCGCTCGCTCTAGATTCCGGGAGATTTGAACTAATTTGTGGTCATCAGGGAGCCGCTATCAATCCGCGGGGGACACCTGGAACTTCTGGCAGACTTGGGATGTCTGATATTTACACAACCAACACACATCAAATCTGCCGCCTTTTCAAACAGTAACATATTTTCCACTGTTGCAAACCTCAACTGTGCGCATGTGAAATGTTTCCCGGCTTGACTGTTAAAAGCAGACGATTGGCTTTCCAGCGGAAGGGGCAGGGCATGTGCATACAACCGCCATCTTTGGTGTTATGGGTTTTCCCTATATAGTTGTATTAAGGATTGATGAAGTGGCATGTCTCTATATAAATTGTCTCTGGTATAGCTCAGGCCTGATTATCGGAAGGCAGACCACAATTGTGAGTTCCACATCATGCATGTAGTGAGTCATAAACCATCACTATTGTCCCCTTGAGCAAGACACTTAACCTTAGGTCTTTCCATAGGGATTATCTGTGTAATATGTATGCTATAAGTTGCTTTGGGTAAAAGCATTTGCTAAATGATTACTTACTGATGGCAAGTTTGCCAGCCCAACCAATGATGTTGTCTTAATGGTCGCTTCAGGACATCCTAAACAGTAATGGATCCTACTAAGCCCATTTGCAAAGTTCAGCTAAACTCCTTGAACTTTGACCCTGCTGGGTAGTCATGCAGGGATGATTCGAGACTGACAGACGCATGGTCAGAGCGTAGTGACGCGTGGTCCTGACCCCCGTAAACGTGTCCCTATTCTCTGTTTGTTATTTACACTCCAGAGCCCAAGGTAATGAAAGCTCTGTCATGCAGTATTCATGGACCTCTCGAAGACAGCCATCGAATGCATGTGCGTTTGCAGACGAACACACACGCACGCAACCACACAAACAGGTTTCGATTACAGCGGCCAATGCCGGCCAGACAGTTCTCTCCATCGGTTTCTCTATGCCATCTAACCTGAGATGACCAGATGATCACCTCACCTGAAAAGAAAGCCAAAAAGAGAGGTGCGCAGGTGCAGAGTGCATGTATAATATTCAGTACCTCACATAAGTTAGTACACCCCTCACATTTTAGCAAATCTTCTCAAGGGAAAATACCACAGAAATGCAACTTGATAGATTTTAGAGTAGTCAATGTTAGTCATGCATAAAGTAATCATGCTGCTTGTATAGCAGTATATATTTACTGTCCTCTTAAAATAACTCAACATTCAGCCATTATTGTCAAAATAGTTGAAAATAAAAGTAAGTACACCCTAAGTGAACATGTCAAAACTGTGTCCAAAGTGTCAATATTTTGTGTGATCACCATTGTAATCTAGCCCTGCCTTAATCCTCCTGGGCATGGAGTTCACCAGAGTTGCACAGGTTGTTGCTGGGATCCTCTTCCACTTCTCCACAATGACATCACGGAGATGATGACTGTTAGACACAGGGCGCTTAACCCTCTGATTGAGGACGCCCCACAGGTGCTCAATAGGTTTCAGGTCTGGAGACATACTTGGTCACTCCATAACTTTCAGCTTCCTCAGCAAGGCAGTTGCCATCTTGGCGGTGTGTTTGGGGTTGTTATAATGCCGTTCGGCCCAGTTTCTGAAGGGAGGGCATCATGTTCTGCTTCAGAAAGTCACATGTACATGTTGGAATCCATGTTTCCCGCAATAAAGCACAGCTCCCCAGTACCAGCAGCATTAATGCAGCCCTAGACCATGATGCTACCAGCACCATTGTTGACTGTAGGTAAGATACAATGTTCTTGGTACTCGCCACACATGCTTGGCATTTATTGCTCCTGTCTGCCTCGGATCGATTGCTCCTGTCTGCCTTGCTTCAAGCTGTGCTGTGTGTTTGTTTGCTTCAAGGCTGTACGCTCCGTCTAAACTTCATTTAAGCTTTGTTTTTCTTTCTGTTTTGAACCATTTCTGGTTGTTTATACAACTAAATAGTCTACATCTTACCCAACATCTCAGATTAACCTTACACCGCTAGCTTCCGTTATTGTTAGCACAATAATCATCGCTAGCCTGTCTAATTTATGTGTTTATTTCCACTCACGAACCCGCGCCTTTGAGTTCATAAAAAGCCCAGGTGAATAAGAACCAGTCACCAAATACGCCGAGTAAGAATCAGTATACAAACACGGTGAGTAATGTCTTGTCCTGTTACTGTTACCTGCGTCACATCATATGTTTAGTACAGCAAAAGTCCGCAAAATAATGTAGAATTCATAGACAATTGGAAATGTTTCTGGGGCAAGCCTGACCTGTCGAAAAGAGATGGAATTCACCCCTCCCTCCTGGGATGGTGCTGCTCTTCTCTCAAGTAATTTGGCTCAAATTTGGCACCAGGTCAGGATGCAGACAGACTGGCTAAACTGACCGTCTGCTAGCAGCTTCGCATCACCAAGGTCAGATAAATCCCATCACATAGAGGCTCTTTCACCTAGATATCATATAGAGACTGTGACTGTTCCCCGAATTTGGATATCCAAAAAACGTCAGATTAAAAAAGTAATTGATGTTCAACAAAAAAACAGATATAATAAGAGATAAGCAAATGATAAAGCTTCCCTTACCATTATAGTGTCCCCGTCACTATATTGGGGTGTTAGGACCCACACAAACCACAGGGTGAGCATCCCCTGCTGGCCTCACTAACACCTCTTCCAGCAGGAACCTGGTTTCCTCAGGAGGTCTCCCATCCAGGTACTAACCAGGCTCAGCCCTGCTTAGCTTAAGTAGGCAACCAGGCTTGGGCCTCAGCGTGATATGGCTGCTGGCGTAACAGCCATCTAAACATTACATAGTTTAGATCAGCCGGAACCGGGAACACGTCCTGTAAATCCTGATGTACTTGGTACATCATAAGAAGGATGGTGTCTACGCTAATATTACTCTCTGTTTGTCCCGAGGGACCCTCTATGGTGGACCTGCGCCTGGACCCCTCCCAACTCTTTCTTAAGTGCCGGCCTCATCGACACAGATCCTCAACAACTCATCTCCACATCTTCGTCTTCCAAACATATGTTCTGATCAAATCTGACTTGTAATGGTGCCCGAATCATACACTGTTCATCTGTTTTTTGAAGCCATCTTCTGCACCTGACGCACAGCACGAGGACTCAACTTCTTTGATTGACCCACGAGAGGCCTGTTACGAGTGGAACCAGTCTTGGAAAACCTCTGTGTGACCCTGGCCAGTTCTGTAACTCAGTTTCAGTGTGTTACCAATCTCCTAATAGCTTAGATCAACTTTGTGGTGAGCAACAATTCTAATTCTCAAATCCTTAAAAAGTTATGTTGAGCATCCAGTGGTCAGTATGAGAAAATTGTACTCAAAGCACACATTTGAACTGCTCTAATACAAGATACAAAAATTTGTATGGTCCTGTCAAGCAGACAAAAACATGAACATGATGAATAGGACATGTGGCTTTGCATGGTTAAACGACGTACAGCTATTATCTGTACTCACTTTTGTTGCCAGCTATTTTGACAATCGTGCATTGAGCAACGATTAATCGTGATTAAAATTGCATCCAAAATAAAGGTTTGTGTACATAATGTGTGTACTGTGTATAATTATTTTGTATATATAAACACACATATCCATGTATATACTGTATATATATATATATATATATATATATATATATATATATATATATATATATATGCATGCGTGTGCATTTATATATACAAAATATGTATATATAAAAGCAAGGAGAAATCCATCTTTTGTCAGGCTGTGTCCAATTAAACTGTATTTTGGTATTGTGCATAGGCAGGTTGACGTCCTCATTGAACAAAACTATACATGATTACATTAATTATGTGTTCACTTGGTTTGTACCGACCAAAAATTCAGAATTTCAGTCTATGAATATAAGAATGTTTGGTTAACTTGATCTTTTCTTGAATACGTAAGAGAGGCGCAGGGTTATAAACACTACTATAAACACAGTAACACAACATCGAGGGGTGCAGGTTAGGTTAAAGCTTTACAGAAAAAAAAAATTATTTATTCTTAAGAACAGCAATTTAAGCAAATACCCTTGGCACCATCCTGTATGCAGTCTGATGGTCACAAAGGTGTGTGTTTTGCATAAAGTGTCTGTAGACATGAGCAAGCACAGCAGAGGTGATCGAGGACAGCTGTGGAGATGGATGGGACACTGGCCGAAATTTCCCTACGAGCCACATCAGAGATTATATTACATTACATTACACCTCCCGCTACCTGTACTGCACTGCAGCTGTCAGTCTGAGCAGGAAACACGATAACAGTGAATGTTTCCTTTCTTTAAAGATCATGAATATGCAGTGAAAAACAAAGAATTAATAAATAAATAAATAAATTCCTAATACCACAGTATTTTAGAACACATTACACATCCTTTTTGCTATGCGAGATCAAATTTTGCATTGATTTTTAATGGATGTTTCATACAGAAACATCTGTTCAGACGAGCTGTATTTCGTATCCATCATTTAAAAGAGAGAAAAAAAGGGGAAATGGTTTGAATTAGGAGATGAATACAATATTCAGCACTTTCTTTTGTTTGAGGGGAAAAAATTATTCTAGGCAAACACATTTAGTGCTGAGCTTGTCAGACTGCATTTATGTTTGGGTTGCAGTATTGGCTTTTTTAAAATGGTTGAACAATTTCCAACAACACAGAGGTGCTCCTCCAGTATTAGAAGAATATGATGAGTGTTTGGGTTATCCACAAAAGCACACAGACCATTTGTCAACATTAAAAAGGTTTTGAGGGATGTCTGAAATCATAAACCATGTCAAATTAATCAGAAAATGAGTCCAGACAACTTATAGATTGTATGGTTCTGAAAAGGCTGATCACAATCGGTCTAATTAAAATCTCAAAACACGAGAGCAGCACTCACTTGTAAACAGTTCCACCATTTCCATGGCCGAGCTGCTCCTGGTACTGGAGGTCATGTTCATTTATCTAAACAAACAAAGAAAATAAAAATAAAAACTGAGAAAGAAATTCCCCTCTAGATACTGTTTTATTCTAAGGAGAGCAAAATCTAAAAAAAAGTAAAGTATCTTCAAAAGTAAGTTAGTATGTGTGCCAGTGTTCAGAAAGAAAGAAAGAAAGAAGTTTTCTAAAAAAAAACTCAGAAATCCCACTGAAAGGTCATTGGGAGTTCAGTAGCTACAAAAAAGGAGGATCAATACAACATTTTCTGTCTAATATATAAAAAGGTGACAGTAGTTAGGAGTGATAGGAAGTTTAATGATGATTTGTTTGCCTATACTGCATGTTCAACTTTGATAAAAGCTGTCAAAATGGTAATACAATACATGCCCTTCTGACACCAAGAGGCCTGAGGGACCAGTATGTTTTAAGGTGCAGTCAGTTTTATGCACACTAGAACGCCCTCCATCTTTATTCCAAACTCTTGATTTCTTTTTAATACAACAATAAAATACATGCTGTGGGATCTAAACTCTCAGAGTTTCAGGTTTTCAGCCTGTGAGTGTGAGTAGGACATCAGAGCCCAGTTGCAACAAAGCCCTTAAGTTAAGAAAGTGGTTGGACCATTATGTGTTTTCGTAACATAAGGGCTCTGTAACATCCAGCTGCAGATTCCATAGGGCCAATAGTATCTCTGAGGATGACGAAACAGAAAAACGCAGTGGAAGCTCAATCTGGTAATCTCCTGACCTGACCTGTAAATGCAGTTGCCAATTCCAGCCACAGAGGATTTTCAGATTTTCAGCTTTGAACCGATTCATCCAGTCAACAAATTAACTCCCACTCAATCATTGACATTAGAATGGAGTTCAAAACCACAATTCTTTTCACAACATGATATTTCTCAGTATCGAGGTGGCAATGGCGCAAACTTAGACTTCACTATTAGTAGAGACTCTACTGACGATCTCTCTCTAATAACTGCATAGTCTGCATATTAGTGGCTCAAGTCTCTGTTCCTAGCACTAAAATTACATTTTACAATTTGTAAAAATTAGGTTTAGACTATTTGAAAGTGTCTGTGTCACAGTGTAATTATACATTTAAGTAATGAGTTACCATAATTGGTCCCACTTTATATTAAGTGGCTTTAAGTACTATGTACTTACATTTAAAAATAAGTACAATGTACTTATTGTGCTCATGTTGTATTGTAAATCACTTTTGGTGCTATGAGGTGTGATACGGGTAAGGTTAGGGACAGGTGTGGTGGTATGGGTAGGTTTAAGGGTGGGTTTAAGTGTAAGGGATGGGTCAGCTGTGTAATTACAGATGTAATTACATAAATTAATTACATCTGTAATTACATGCTGGTATTTTTAAAATATAAGTACAATGTAAAAACATGTATGTACACAATAATTCCATTGTATCAAATTATTAATTTCAATGTAAGCACATTAACTACTTGTAGGGTGTGGGATTACAAATTTAGCAATCTGTTTAAGATTTGCTGATCCTACATCCTCAAATGTCAAATGAAAAACTAAAGGGAAGTACATTGTATTTAGCAATTAAGGTAAAGATGAGAACATCAGATTAGCAAAAAAGACTGAGGTTCCTGCCAGTCCTGTTCTCTTTAAGTCAAATAACAAATAACTGAGACTCTCACCCTTTGTCTTTAATGGCTCTTGGAGACCCTGTCCAATTCTTGAATAGTTATGCTGATTGAATTAGGACTGGTAACACTAGAGTCTGGGGCGGGTTCCTATACAGTACATGGATACTTCATTTGCATGCTTTGTTTAAAGTCAGCCAGGTGCTTTGTTACCATTTTTAAGCACTGCCTCCTAAAATCTATATAAACTACAGTGTTGTTCACTGCCTTAGTTAGACTTGATGACTGCAGCTACCCACAGCTTGTGTTCTCAAAGATTCTTGCTGAACATACAAATGAGTCTCTCGTCTTTGCTTCTAAGTTTCCTACAAGGGTGAGGGTTTGTTTTAGGGTTACTTGTATGTAATTATGCACAATTTATAGCAACTACTACAGCAACATGCCACATGTAACAAGGACACTAAAATAAATTAAAATGAATAAATTAGTCCAACACACAAGGTTTTAAGGACAAAAACGTAAACAAAAAAAAGGGAAGATCTGAACAATGTCTTGAGGCATGGCAATCACCTAGTATAAGCTGAATAATTGACTCTGGACCCTTGGATTATTAGAAAAACAATGCACAGCAAAGATGTTCCAACGTTATTTTTCTAATAATTTAATGGCTCGTCATCAATTACTTCTTACATATTTATTTATTTTATTTATTGTTTATTTGAATAGAGACAGATACAAAAAAACATAGATTATTACATAAAGAACAATCCGATGCCTGTATCACAGTGTTTATAGACCATTTCACAAGATGTAAACAACACTGGTCCAGAAGCACTTCCTGTTTCAGTTTTTTAACACTACATAAAAGCTGGGATAAAATACAACCAACAGAACATTTAAAACTGAATAAAAAGTTAAACCAACATCTTTAAGATGTTTTCTTTACATGTGAAATAAAGAAAACAGTTACAAACTGAAACAGGAATTGTTTCTGGACCAGTGTTGTTTACATCTTGTGAAATGGTCTATAGCCAAGGCTAATTCGCAACACTTGTACCACAATATAACAGGGTATTGTTACATCTGATGTGACGCATTCTTCTTTTACAAAACTGTAGAAAAGCAAACAAGATATTTACTTATGAAAGCATTATTATTATCATCATCATCATAAACAACGATAACAATATAATATAATAACATTATATACAATCATAAAACGGTTAGTTCCAATCCTTGATTCTGATTGGTGACTGTGCTTTATTCATGATAAAACACGGCTATGTCCGCTTGACCCAACGGTTCTATTTATCACTGCGCAACACTGCAGTTCCTCTGTTGTTTTTATTTGAGCTTTCATGCATATTACACATTGGAACGTTGTTGCTGTTCACGGTCAGGGACTATTTTTCTTCTAGCGGAAAGAAGGCTTTTAGTGATTTTACTTCATGAAAGTTGCACTAATACAGTTTTTTTTTTTTTACTTTAATATTTGTATTGTGTGGTAACTCTGCAGTATAACATAGCATTATAATAATTAGTGTTGTTATTATTATTATTATTTTTAACAGCAGCATTTTTCATTAACAAATAATAATAGTATCATTATTATATACATGAACAATCCAATCCAAGTCATTTGTTTGTGATTGCTAATACGACTGGTTAGTCAGTGTTGTGTGTGTGTATTGTGTGTATTGTAGGGGAAGTGTTTCCCCTTGTGAACTGGACCTGATGTGAAGCCAATGCTCTGCTGACAGGCCTCACCCCGACTACAGGGGCCATTTGATTTTATACAGGACATTTGATTAGGCTGAAGTGCAGGAGAGAGACATTGTGTGTGTGTGTGTGTGTGTGTGTGTGTGTGTGTGTGTGTGTGTGTGTGTGTGTGTGTGTGTGTGTGTGTGTGTGAGAGAGAGAGAGAGAGAGAGAGAGAGAGAGAGAGAGAGAGAGAGAGAGAGAGAGAGAGAGACCATGTGTGTGAGAGGATGCTAGTGATCTATTAACTGTGCATGTTACTGGTGTCACAGGGGATGTGACTGTCTTAATTGTCTATCTGACACACTTTAGTTGACAGACTGGTCAGCTAGGGGCCTGTGGAGGGGGGAGAAGAGGTGACAGGGAAAGGAGGAAGGGTGGGCAGCAAAAGGACACAGCTCTGTACACTCAAGATAAAGATCTCAACCATACCACAGAGAAAGGGTCAGTGAACAGCCTGTTATCTGCAATCAATAGATGTGTTTGCACATTCACACAGAGAATGTAAATTGACAATTTAAATGGGATGAGTGAAGCATCACTGGTTGATTGGTACTACTGATGTATGTGTGTGTGTTTCTAAAAAGATATGCAGAAATAAAGTGTGTAATGTGAAAAGAGGGCTACTATACCTGTCCATTTGTCAAAATCTTCTTAAGCTCAGCTGAAGACTTTCTTAAACTGCAGATGAAAAAATAAAAAGTATGAAATTGTGTGTGTGTATTCAGCAGTGATGCATGTATTCTCATACACACTGGCCTTCAGACTGCAGGTCTTTGTTCTGTGCCAGGGGGTTTCCATTATATCAGACCAGATCCAATTATAACTGACAAAATGTTTTTGCTGTATGTTTAGGCTATGAAGACTACCAGCTCCTGTTAGTGTCTCTTATTAAAGGGAATTACATTGAGACCTTTATAATTAAAATGAATATCACCTTTAAAGGTGCAGTACACTAGCCTGGCATGCCAGACCTACATCAAGATGTTTGGTCTGGGAACTCATCATTGACAGGGGTCATTCCGAGGGGAAGGATAAACGGTTGTCTTTCAAATTCTCTCCGCACGCAATTGGATAGCGCGGAGTCAGCGGAGCAAGTTGATATATTAAACTTTTACCGTATCCAGTCCATAGCTGTCAACATTGAACATTGAGAATAGGGGAGATTTCCTGGAATCCATCCCCAAAATAAGGGATTTTTTTGCTTTTTTACGTGACCCACAAACTAGAAGAAAAAAATTCACATGAAAACTGTCCTGTTACTATAGCTAATCTGTAAAAAAGTATAAAAATCTGTATAAATTCCTTTAATTGCTTTTTAATTATTTTAATACTTATTTCCTAAGCACAAGGACACCAGAATTAGACACAATTATCCATAAAAACAGGAACTAAATTTGGTAATTTACACTAATGTTCAAAAGTTGATGATGTTTTTGTGAGAAGTCTCTTAAGGCCCCGATATAGTTCAAGCGAAATCTATGAAAGAATAGCTATGACATCATTTCAAACAAAATCAGCCAAAAATGAAGTTCGTTTAGAAAGTTCAAAACAGCTTGCCTAAGCAAACTTTCCGGAAAAGTTTGCTAGTGGTAGTAAACACTGGTCCGTGGCGATTAATAAACATGACTTGACTTAAAGCTACAATATGTGACTTTTTTGGCCACAAGAGGGCGCAGTTTCCAACAATAACAAAGGCGTATGTTTATGACGCAGTTACAAGCTGAATGATGGGACTTGCTGTCAAGCTGATGGACCTAATAATGTTTATGAATTAGTGAAAACACTCATGTTTTTTTTAACATCTTCTAATCTTCTAATATGCTGATTTGGAGCTCAAACTTATTATCATTAATGTTAAAAACAGTTTTATGGCTAAATAGTTTTTGTAGAAACTGTCATTTTTTCAGGATTTTTGATAAATAGAGATTAAATGAACAATAAAAATAGTTTGTAACATTATAAACATCTTTGATGTCACTTTTGATCAGTTGAATGTGTCCTTAATAAATGTATTCATTACTTTTTTAAAAATTAAAATAAAAACTTATGGCGCCAAAACTATATAACGGTAGTGTGTAACAAGAAGTTAATCCACCTACCAAATGGTAGTCCTAATTTTAAAAAAAAAAAAAACCCTATTTAGTTAAAAAAAAGCCACAAGCGGCAGCAAGGTAGTTGCCAGCAAGAGGTGTTCATTGCCATGATGGATAACGGATTCCTCCGATTAGAAATATATTTGGTAACCTTAAGCTGTTTAACAAGCAATGTAGAAAACTTGAGGGATTGTATTACCTATCGTTGGACCGGGAATCAGCTGCAGAGGAGCTCCTGCCACTCGAGGATTCGGGACGCGTGTTCACCTGCAGGCAAACAAAGACAATCAGAACCCTGTGCTAATTAACCTGTGATTCAACAGCAAACTGCCTGTTTTGGCCGCAAGGTTAATTGGCGTTTGTGGGGGAGACCGAGAGAAATAAAGAGAGAGGCTTGAGGAAAGGGGTCACTTCATCTATCAGGCAAAATTAAATATAACTCTGGGAACATCCTTGGGTTAAAAAAAAAAGAATGAATCAACATCACGTCCTTTATTTGTCATTAAAGAGGATGTATGAAGCTGCTTCTTGTCAGAGCCACGCTAACGGATCGCAGTGGGAGAATGAAGGAAAAAAGCTCAAAGAGAGTCACTATATAAATAAGTAGATTAATTGAGGTCTGTAGGTCGTAGTGTAGTGCAGTAAAGCAGTGATTCTGTTCTTAATTAGTGTCTATGAAGACCTCATTTAGATCATTTTTTTCTTTTTTTTTACCCTTTTCAAGCCAATTAATTCAGAATTGAACCAAGACAAGCTCAAAACGAACAATTATACAATCTAAGTAAATAGAAACTACACTACCCTTGAATACTTTAGGGTTAGTAAGAGGGTTTTTTTGTTTGCTAAAGAAATTAACATGTTTTATTTAGCAATGATATTCAGCAATGATGGCATGCTGATAATTCATTTTCACCGACCGCACATTTTTGAACGGTTTATCAAATAATCAGATAGAAATACAACGAAAAACATTGAGGGGGTAGAAAATGAGACAGATAGAAAGAAAGAGTCTTGACTTCAATTGACATTTCAATAAGTGTACGCAGCATAACGGATCCATGGCCAATTCTGCTGAAACAATCATTGAGACACATACCTTCAGGCCGTGTATGTTGCGGTTCCCTGGGGTCTTACCGGCTAAAAAGAAAATTGACTAGATTGTAGATCAAATGAGGCCAGAGTAAAAGAGCATGAGCAGAATATTTTACAGAAAATGTTTAAAATGTCAGAATTAGTCTATCTGCAACTTTACAAAACATATTGAAATACAGCTTAGAGAGCTAATAAGTATACCATAAAGGATAATGCTAGGGATGGGAATTGATAAGATTTTATCGATATCGATGCCACTAACGATTCTGCTTATCGATCCGATTCTTTAACGATTCTCTTATCGATTCCTGATAGCACTGTGTGGGAAAAAGTACTCATATGCTTTTTTTGGGGAAAGAAACAATTGGTTTTATTTGTTTTAAACCTTTCACTTGACTAAGTAAACTGTACTTTTGATGTAATTTATATAATAAATGAAACCTTATGAGTTCAGTTCAGTGTTGAGTTCAGTTCAGTGTTGGAAGATCAGTTCAGTTGTTTTACCATTCATTAAAACGAATCGGTTCAAATGAGTCATTAGTTCGCGAATTGAACGTGTCATTATCAGACGTGTGCGCGTTCCGACACAAGATGTGTGTCATCACAGAAAACATTTCATCTTTTGGTCGTTTTTTCCGTTTATTTGAAGTGTGGTTTATGTCAGCTAAATGTGCGGACCGCTATTCAGAGAAGATAAGGCAACGTAGACCTATTTTAGCACAATTCACACCCAGCGGTAATTCAGGAAAAACAAATCTCCGAATGCTGCACATGAAACTTTAGTCTCCCGACCTTACCATTGTGTCGATTATTTTGATTAATATGTGCGAGGGAGAAAGAGAGAGCAAGACAGTGCTTAGTTTTGAGCAGTGAAGCCAGAGAGAGGTGCGCGCGCGCACGACCGGGGCTCTCTCTCTCCCTGCTCGTTCAGTTTAACACGAGCCCTGTCACGAGCGCAGCGGTTCATAACTACAGAGAGAGACAATTTTACCGGTACTCACCGATCAAATAAGGCTTTGGTGGTACAAAAAATCGCTTTGGACGCCGTACTGGTGCTTAATAAAGGACAAAGGGACAGTTGTTAGTTCACTGTCTGAAGCCTACATACTGGTTGACTCAGAGCAGGAGCATCGATAAGAGGAATCGTTAACGTCGAGCGCAAACAATATCGATGGATCGTAAAATTTAGAACCGGTTCTCGAGTGGAACCGGTTTTCGATTCCCATCCCTAGATAATGCATATGTGAATGTATTCAGAAAGAATTTGCTTCACCAAACTGATATTTATTCCTCTCACAGAAGCCACTGAGCATGAAGTAATTTGGGATTTGCTAAACAGAAAATACGTGAACAGGGCAGTGCTGAGTATGGGGTTTTCAACAGTGATCTAGGCTCTAGGTGGGCCTCAGGCACATTTACTGTTGCAGTGTTAAACTGTAATTTGGCCCAACACACAAACACACACTTTACACACCTCGTGGAAATATCTGTAAAGGCTCAGGTAACAGTCCATTGATGCGGTGCTCCATAACTGTGTTGCAGTACTGTAGAGAATAAACAAACAAAACAAAAAACAGGCCAGTTACTTTTTTTAATAGTTCACAAAAATCAATAAAACAAAAGTATGTGAGAAAAAAAAGTCCCACAGAGTATCAAAGCAATCTTAAGTCCAAAAAAAAAAAAAAGCTTCACTATGGGGAACACACATTCACTATTTACTTCAACTTTTACCTCAAACTGCTCATTTACTGTCTATTAATAGTAAGGTAGTTTTTGTAATGTTTAAGTTTCGGTATTGGGTAGCATTAAGGGATGAAGAATAAGGTTATGCAGTATAAGGCATTAATATGTGCTTTATAATTATAAGTACTAATAAACAGCCAATATCCTAGTAATATTCATGATAATAAGCATCTAGTTAATAGCGAGAATTGAACCCTAGAATAAACTACTGTCACATACTCCTCCTCGCAGAGCCACTTGCAGTATTGGGGGGAAAAGAAAAGACGCTAAATGAATCGGGCACCCAGCACAGGTAATCTTTTTAAAACCCTCTGTATCAATTCATCCGTTGTAATGGCTGCCAGGCGCATCCCAATCAGAGTTTTCTCATTTCAGCCTGACGTAAAAGCAATCTGCCAGTAACGGCTGCCTATTAATTAATTACACTGCATAATAGGCTGAAATGGAGTCTGGCATTTATAAACCTTTTATTATATTATTAATGTCATGGCAAGCTTTTGGTGTAATTATTTTTTCTTTAATTAATCCATGCGGTTAATACAGTAATTTAACTTAAAGCAATCTAGATTTCAAGTTTTTTTGGCACTGTACTTGCAGTTTCAATAAAATACTTCACGTTGTATATTAATTACATTTATTATATTTTATAATATTCAATATTTACTGAAGTTGATCTTAGAGTTGTAATTTTTACATTGACATTTGAGAATGATATGATATGATATGAATTTAGGGCTGTGCAAAAATTAATTGCGATTAATCGCATCCAAAATAAAAGTCTGTGTTTACATAATATATTTGTGTGTGCTGTATATAATTATTTTGTATATATATATATATATATATATATATATATATATAAATACACACACATGCATGTATATATTTAAGTAAAAATGTGTTATTCATATATAAAATATTTATATAATATAGATTATGTATTTATATATATATATATATATATATATACAGTATATATATATATATATATATATATATACAGAATTTAAGCGCAAATAATTCTTAAATATATACATGCATGTGTGTGTATTTATATATACATAATAATTATATACAGCTCACACAAATATATTATGTAAACACAAGACTTTTATTTTGGATGCGATTAATCGCAATTAATTTTTGCACAGCCGTAATATATATATATATATATATATATATATATATATATATTCCATTTTATTGTTTCAATTTTTATTAATTTTATTATTTTAACTTTTTTACATTTGAGACTTTATATTATATTATTCATTCAATTTTTATTATTACTTTTTTATATATTATATTAATTGATATAACTGTATAAATATGATCTTGCTGTTGATGTAGCACTTTTGCTGATTCGATTTCAAAAGAACTCTGATGTCTTTCAAACACATGTATAAATTTATCTCTCCTGCCAAAAGAACATTCAATGATTGTGTTTCGGTTAACAGAACCATCTGGTCGCTCGTCCTCTCCTCTCAGTCCAGCACGAGACCTTTGTGTCCAAACACAGAGCACCCATCGCACACAATAATGCCATTAAAACCACAGATCCAGATGGACAAGAGAGGAGGGGAGAGTGTCAGTGTTTGAAAGAAAGACAGAGACAGAGAGAATGAGAGACAAAGGCAGAACAAGACAAAGGTCAAAAGCAAGCCTAACCAAGGGGCCGGCGGTACAGCACTGTCCCTCCGCCGCGTGCGAATGCGTGATGAATACGCTGTGCCGCACGCGAGGACATGCAGAGGAAGCAGTGTTAGAGCAGCTGTTATTAAATACCCTATTTATCACTGTCACCTCTCTGCACTGCCTGCAGGCACTGAAACCATGTAGCTCTACCAAAACACACACCTTTAATTTTCCACTCGGTTGCTTTATCGATTAGGGCTGCAATTACCTAACTAATCTGTAACAGTGTATTAAAAGAAACCTCCCTTTGTTGGACAATAACTAAAGGCAGTTTGATCACAGGCAGGCAGCTTGAGAGCTGGAGGGAACAGAGGAGTCGGACCTCCGCTCTGTTGGACCCCGATCATTAACACACCCCAAGTAAAGCGCTCTGTAATTAGCAGTCCCAGCCTGGGAGATCAGTGCCTCTGTGTGTGTGTGTGTGTGTGTGTGAGTGTGAGAGAGAGAGAAAGAGTCGGCGAGGCTATATCTGACATGGGTCAGTCTTTAACTTTGAACTAACATCCTGGAAAGGCTAAAGGTAAGAAGGGGTTCACCAGGGACCCAGAACATCTCAGAGACCTCAGAATGATGATCGCTGCTAGAGCAGTCAAGACAGTTTGAAGGTCGGTTTTCACCAGAGAGCTCTGTGAATTAGCTTACGCACCTGTAAAGCAAGAAGTCATCTCTTAATTCCTATTAAGTCTACATAACAGTAGATCCCTTCACATGGAATTAATTGAAGCAAATTTAGAAAGGTCCCCCACAGAGACCCCAAGAGCCACCAAGGCAAAGAGTACGTTCGCTTGAAATATGACCACAAGGATCAGTTAGACATAGGCACAAGCCTCAGAACATGTTACATGCATATTAAATTCCACCCTTCTCAGCAGCTTGCACCGTCCCCAGAGAAGCGAACGGCATCATGGGAGGAAAAACTCATTTTCAGAAAAAGTGGACTCGGTTGTGCTGTTAACCAAAATGCAAGGGGGAGGCAATCTGCAACAGCAGCGAGCGGTAATATTCACTGTCAGAGTAATATGGCCTCAAAGATTTTTTTTTTTGTCATGTGCGATGGCACGTTCCTTAAGAGTAAAGCCTCTCTGTGAATAAGCATTAATGCAGATTGTTGCGATAACAAATGAGAATACTCGCATTCCCGCAAATATCTCCAATGTCAGAATGTGCATTTCAAAACTAGAATTAATCAAGTCAGGGAAAAAAGTTGAATTACACTGCAGAGCAGGACACCCGCCGCGAGACATCATTGTCAGTGTGTCACCTTCTGGCCTAATCTGGCTAATGACTCCAATGCCCTTGAGAGGTACAACATTGATAAAGCATCTAAAAATAAATAAATATCAAATACAAGTAATTTAATTTCCTGCAGAAGCGGTGGTTTTAAAGCCCATGGCTACTCGAGAGTCATTGAGAGCTGATGGGGGGTAAAAGACAACACCAGCTGAAAGTGGATTTTGAAAAATTCCTCTACCCAAGAGGGCTGTGCTTCTAATGAGGCGAAACTTTAAGTATTGAATAATAAATAATAAAAGTTGATAGTTCATTTAACTTCCACTGTACTTCACAGGGGGAAAAACTATTACGAGTCATTACGTTTGGTGTCCACAATGTGAGCAGTAAGTATTGAAAGCACTTTTACGTTAAAACACAACACATAAAAGCAGAGAACAGACTGAGGAAACAAGAGTAGGCAACAACAGTCCTTGACTTGAAAAGAAAGACTGTTTAAATCCGTAATTGGGGAAAAGTTTACAATAGCGGTTTATTAAACACGACATATATTTTGAACATTTCAATTTGTGCCTGGTCACTTGGGGAGGCCACTGCCGGAGTCTACAAAATAATGAATATTAAGAAACATAAGCAGACATTTAATATTACACTTTTCCCTTTGCTAATCTGGCTTGGTTAACACCTGTAAAATTTAAAATACGGGGTGAGTGCCAGAAACGCACGTTGCCATGGAAACATCGAGAGGTGCAGCCAGAAAAAAAGGAAGTAGGTGAAGAAATTGAAAAGAAAAAAAGAAAATATGTAGCTACTTGTCATCCTTGCCAATCAGCAAAGTAATGAGAACATTTTCCCCAAGGGTGAATAGATCTGGAATAATAGATTTGTAATAGCTTTTCCCTTCCAACAAAACACTTTCAGCATTCAAAGGACTAATACAACAGACTGTAATAGAGCGCGCAACGGTGACCACCCACTTTTCCTCAGCTTTGATTCCGGAAGTATTTTTCTTTGTTTATTTGACCCATTGGCATTTCATTAAAGCCTTTTATTGGTATCTCATGAACCAATCGTCTCCAAGAAGAATCAAAACAATGCAAACGAAGGGGTTGTTGCTAAGGATTGACCAAAGTGAAATTCTGGGCTGAAATCGAAAGCGAAAATTCTGCATGCACTTGCCCAAGAACCGAACCAAAAATGAATTTATTATTTTAAAATAGTTGTTTTTAAACAACTATTAAAGGATTATTAGGAACACCTGTTCAATTTCCCATTAATCCAATTATCTAATCAACCAATCATATGCTTCAATGCATTTAGAGGTGTGGTCCTGGTCAAGACAATCTACTGACATCCAAACTCCATGTCAGAATGGGAAGAAAGGTGTTTAAGCAATTTTGAGCATGGCATGGTTGTTGGTGCCAGATGGGCTGGTCTTTTCATGTTCAACCATTTCTAGGGTTTACAAAGAATGGTGTGAAAAAGGAAAAACATCCAGTATGTGGCAGTCATGTGGGCGAAAATGCCTTGTTGATGCTAGAGGTCAGAGGAGAATGGGCCGACTGATTCAAGCTGTGATAGAAGAGCAACTTTGACTGAAATAACCACTCGTTAAAACCGAGGTATGCGGCAAAGCATTTGTGAAGCCACAACACCCACAACCTTGAGGCGGATGGGCTACAACACCAGAAGACCCCACCGGGTACCACTCATCTCCACTACAAATAGGAAAAACTAGCCTACAATTTGCAAGAGCTCACCAAAATTGGACAGTTGAAGACCTTGTTGAATCAATGCCACATATAATTAAGGCAGTTCTGAAGGCGAAAGGGGGTCAAACACAGTATTAGCATGGTGTTCCTAATAATCCAGTTTTTAGGACACTTGATGGAGTTTTTCGGTTCCTTGCCACTGTTGTCTTTGGCTTGCTCAGTTGGGGATATTCAAATTAATACCATTGATCAGCTCAACCAAACGTGGATGTTTTTCGTTTTTCCACTAAGAAATTAACATTGTTATTATGTTTTGATTGATACTGTGAAGCTGCTTTGATGCAATCTATATTGTGAAAAGCGCTATATAAATAAACTTGACTTGTTATTAATATTAGACTTTAATGAAATTCAACTATTTATTTTTGGCTCATTTTCAGCAATTTTTCCAGCAATATTTAAAAAATGAAAATGCTGATATTGTGTTAATATTACACATACAATATTATCGTTAATAAGCCGTCACCAGTATGATACTCAAATACAGTGGATGGCAGTTTTACACCTTAACCTTGGTTACCAACAATCATAAAATAGAAAAAAAGGAAAACATAGTACATTATTTTTGTACACTTCTGTACTGTTCTGGTTACAAACTGGTTGTGGTTCTGGTTGTACTATGGTTATGGTTTCATTGGCCCAATAAAATAAAGAAAACACTAAATAAATTTAAATATGAATGTGACTAATTTTGACTTCGTTTTTTTTTTTTTTTTTTTTTTTTGGCCACAATAACCATAATACAAATATGATATAATGACAGTCCTATTATAAACTATAACTTTCAACATCATTACTCCAGTCTTTAGAGTAATTTTAGTGTCTTATTTTTAGTGTAATTTTAGTGTCTTATTAAAACATTTCTTATTTTTATCAATAGAAAAAGTTTTAGCTGCTGCATATTTTTGTTGAAACGGGCATCAAATGTGACAGAGAAGAAATATACAATGTTACAAACAAATATTTAATAAATGCTTTAATCAATTTAATAAATGGAAAAAAAAAGCTACAACAACAAAGCAACAAAAATGTTAAGCAGCATAACTATTTTCAACTTTGATAATATTGATAAATATTTATTGAGCAGCAAATCAGCATATTAGACTGACTTCTAAAGAATTGTGACACTGGAGACTGGAAAAAAATATGCTGAAAATCAGCATTCAGCAATCAGCTTTGCATCACAGGAATAAATTAACATTTTAAAATATAATCAAATAAATAAATAAAATTATTTTAAATAGAAATAAAATTTCACAATATTACTGTTTTAACTGTATTTTGATTAAATAATTGCAGCTTCGATAAGCAGAAGAGACTTCAAAAACAAAGAATTGTAATGTTTCCAAACTTTTGACAGCTACTGTAAGTACAGTGGATTCAATGAATTATACGGTTGTTTAACAACCTACCGATTGTCCACGAAACTAAACTTTCAGTAGACAAAAACTCCATAAGACAGTTTTGAAACATCTCCTTTAGGCCTAGTGTGTATGTTGTAAAGACTGTACATCTATCCTTCACAGCCTCGATTTCATGCATTAAATTCAATATGGCATCTAACTTTACATATTTCAGATGTTTATTTTTTCTCATGGTAATAGTTTGTGATGGTGAGTTGTTTACAATTAGGCAATGTAGTTCTTCAATGCCAATTTTAGAAATGATGCTAAAAACACACTGTTTAACAGCTGACTCAAAGAGCTTGGCTGCATTTATACATATACTCACATATGACAGCATGGCTTTGAGCTCCTCATCACTCCGAACTGTGATTCGGTCGCCAACTTCATCCTCATCTGAAATATAAGAGAATCATTAAAATCTAAAACAACTAATCACTTGCCAATTTAAACAACCATTTATATTATGTATTCTTCTGCAAATGTGTTTACTTTTTTTGCATGCCTTTAGCCTAACCGAATAGTTTTTTGTTTTGTTTTTTCCCAATAAAGACATCAGCATTGAAAATATAAGTTATATTCAGTTATACTTTCTAGTAGTTTCATATACTATTTACTTGGCTTTCCTGAAAATAGTCAAACAATTGAAATATAATAAGCATTGCTCACATTCAAAAGCGGTGACTGTGGTTTCAGGCATGACATCTCTGATCGCGGCCTGTCAAAATAGAGAATCACTGAGCAGACAAACATTTGACTGACAGCTGTCAATCAGCATCATTATCTTGAAAACCACTCATTAAGGTAGCATTCTCCATGATAGTTTCTCCGTCTAAAATATACTGAGATGTCACATGGAAACACACTTTAAATACAGGTAAAACAGCAACTCACCAGCAAATCGTTAAAGTTAAGATGTGATGGATAATCCACTATGGAGTCCATGTCCCCCACCGGCGTCTTTATCCGGATTACGATTCCCTCAGATTCCATGCTGCACAGGTTATTTAAAACAAGTAAAAGCATAACAAAAGCACACCGAGAAACATAATCTTGGCTTTCAGTGCAGATTCCCAGACACACAGCAGCTGCAGGCTAGGCGGCTAGCGGCTAACACAGTGAAGAAAACATTCAACACACAGCTGACGCAGCGGCCACTCCGACTAATAAACGAGAGACATGTATTTCCAGATGTACGGACTACATGTAATCCGACTGTTAACTAGGATTTGAAAAAATATTTGGCCGTGGTTAACAAACTGTTAACAATGAAAGTAAAGCAGAGGAAGTTTAGCGGAAGTGTTTTGAGAATTACCCGGAAGCTGCCCGTCAGCTGGAGGTATTTAAAAGCCTCACAGACTGAAAGCTGACTTCGAGACTATTTTTGACTTGATCTATTCCTTTAGCTTTATAAAGTAATATTTCAGAATGTAGCGTCAATTTGCAGGCCAAATATACTGATATTATTTTGTGAACAAGTTGCTACATGAGACTTTGGATAAATTGCATACCTTGTAATTGAGCTGTTTATCATTTTGATCCCATAAGCCATAACCTTCATTTTTGTCATAAATCTCCATTAAAACAATTCACGTTGAATGAAAGTTAATTTTTGCTTTACATTATAGCCTAATTAGTTTACATATAGCCTAAATATATGCTATTTTTAAAATAGTAGCGTTATTACAAAATATACAGGTTATTAGACTATAAGACAATAAGGTTATAATATAGTTTATAATATATAATATAATATAATATAATATAAGTTATAATATATAATATAGGTTATAATAAAAAAATGTTTCACGTCTAAATAGCCTACCTATTTGTTTGGAATAAGCAGGATAATAAATTCAGGCTCTCTTTATTGTTGTAAATAATTTACTCAGTCTGTTACCACTATTTAAATCTACTTAATATTTCACTTCTATTAGTACCTCTTTTCTGCTTTACTTATATAAAATTTAAATAGCATTAAAGATTTCCACTTTGCACAACTCATTACATTGCAATTGAATGTACAACAAAGAACATTAAGTGCCCTTGTTGATTACAGTCTTATCTTAGGGAAAGACTCATTCAATTCATTCATGGTCACAGCCTGATTGCAAAAGCTTCAACAAACATTGATCCTTCAGCAAAATAGAGTTTTGTTTCTTTCGACTACAGCTAATGCAGTCTTCCCTAGCGGGCAGGATATTATAAAGCAATGTGTAATGATTCAATGAAAACTAAGTCTGACCCATTGCAAGCCGCAATCCACAATGATATGATCACGGCCTTCCAAATAGGATCAGGTCTCACATCAAACTTTAAAACAATAGTGTTTCCAGGCAGCCTATCAATGCCCTGACCTATTATTGGCTCTACAGCTGCCCTGTCAATAGGACAGACATGTAGTCTAAAAGAGCAGTGAAAGAATGCCACCTTAAATGTTTTCTTTGCTCACTTTCAAAGAGGACAAAAGCTAAATGCTTAAATACGCTATGGGGTTGTGCACAATTGAATGAAGACCATTCTCCTCTCAAACTACAATTGAAACAGTCAGGTTGTTGTAAGTGAAAACTTACTAAGAGCTCTTAATGATCAGATTATATTACTCATAACAATTGTCAACCGGGGAGGAGTTATAGTTTTGATAGCTCTAAAATGTACAGTTTGTGGAAACAGCTGAATCCACAAGTGGCTCATAAACACACAATCAACCCTAATGAGTGGTTAACCCTTCTTGTTCTGAATGAGTCATCAGGTGCTCTGCATGACATTGATTGTGTGTCACACGGCACAATAAGTAATGACTGAGTCTCATTGTTGCAGGTTTACAGAAATGGAGTGGCAGAGTCAATGTATCTAGCAGTAAAGTGCTGATTACGAGAGATGTAACTGCAGTTCGTCGTGTCTCTGTGGACCTGCGTATAAGCTCTGGTGCAGTTTAAAAAAAAAACTAAAAAAACATGCCACATCAGCAAACACAATTATCAGAAATCAAACTGGACCTATAGCAGTGAGGAAAAGGGTGGAGAGATTGCTAGAATGCAGTGTCTGGTAATTAAAAAACATTTTATCAGCCCAAATAGTCTTCTCTCTCCATCGACAAGTTGCTTGAGACAGAGCAGTTTGACTTGACACATGAGCTGCTGGAACAAAAGACAAGCGGGGCAAATTTCCACTCCAAAATTGGCTGTAGTGAGGTCTTCCAATTTTTTTCCACAAATACCATTATTTTCTGATATTATTGTTTGTAAAATTCCAAATTAATCTTGGTAGAAAAAACACATAAGCTCTTCGGACATCTTTGTTTTGAAAATAAGTTTAAACCGAGCACCAGGGAGTTCATGGATCAATGGGGCAGCAACTGAGGAGTGAGGAGATATTTAAAGTTGCCTTGAAATGGAAGTTCTCCCTATTTATTTTCTAAATGCATGTTTTGACATCATAAATATATTATTGGACCTTAATTCCAATAAAAACAGACTCTGTTGACGAATGCTGCTGGACTTGTCCAGTTATCTATTCTGTTTAAACCCCGCCCCTTCAAGTTCTTGACGCCGTAGGATCGCGTCATGTAAGTGACGCTAAAGGGCGCCTAAAACGTCAAATATTAAAGCATGGTCAAAGGTGACGCCTTGGGGTGAGAATGCGTTGTCATTCGACCTCCATTTCTGAGTGCAGTGTCCACATCTCAAAATCCAATCAACAAACGAGGATACGTCGCTACTTCCGTTTCATTGCTAATTTCAACCTGATAAAGTCTGTAAGTGTGATGAATGGCTTACATTCTATAAGGACTCCTTGATAAAAAAAAATAAAAATAAAAAAAAGGTTTAGAGCAAGTCTTGCACTGTCTGAAACTCCACACGTTTTTTCCTCAGTTTGTAAAAGATCAGCACTATATTCAGTATTGACCATCACATCGCTCACCCACCTGATCCACTGCATGGAACGGGTTCACCACTCTTATGGCTAAAGTATGACCAATATGTAAATGAGATCCTCCTTGCACCCATAAAGTAGTGATGCATATGTATAATTAATTGGCTTGTGAATATTTCATTACCTGTTTATTTTATGCTCATCTATCACCTGGGGGGATATTATATTCTATATTCTATATATTCTATTATATTCTAGTTCTATTATATTTATAGTTATTTTTTTTATCTGCATTTTATGTCTGCAGGCTTATCATATCCTGACCAATAATTGTATATTTTGGAAATGTATAAAATTTCATCAATAAATAACATTTTATGTTTTATAAAAATAAATTATATTCTAAATATGTTAAAACAGAAAACAGATATTTAAAATTGTAACAATATTTCACTATTTTTACTGTTTTTGTTTTATCTAATTAATACAGGCACTTAATTATTGGTAAGTAAGAGACTACAATGGTATACATATTCAAGTGATTTACAAACAGCTTTCAAGTTAAGTTAGTTTGTTTGTATTAATTTTGTTTAATTATGAGGTCTTCCTTCAGGGACCTATAAAAATGTGTTCCGTTTTCTGTTCTAATACCCAAAATGCTTTGAATCTCAAACAAGACTTGTCTAAACCAGCTTTGCAACATCAGAATTTATACTAGATTCATTCATTTTAATTTTAATATTTACAATGACAACCAAGGAATGTGTTGTTATGATGTGTTTTGACGGACAAAGGCGCTCACTATCTTTCTAAGTGTCTACTTCCAACACCACACGTTGTGGCCTGGCTTTGCTGTGTCTGCCCTAACATCTGTTTGTTAAATGGGATCATTATAAGCATATTAAGAGGTCAGTGGGATCAAGGTTTTGTGTTTAAACAAGTCCATTTCCACAGTCATATCAAAGCAGAAACACTGCGAGAGGGGAGTTGATAATCAAGCCTGAGGGGATCTGGTAATAGCTCTGAGCCAGGTAGCACAGCCCTCTGAGCTTATCCTATTCGTCACCTTAAACGTTCTGCCAGCGTGTATGCTAATGTACTCACGCCACTGCCTCTAGATCTGACATATACAGAACAAGACATAATAAGTGCTGCTCCTTCTTATTTTAGACTCCCCCAGTCTTGTTACGAGATCCAGTAATGTCTGCAGTATAATCAGTGTCTACAAGCACACTCATACACATCTTATTTTACACTTTAAATTGATTCCAAGATCTATATGTATTGGCCCTTAAAATTGAACCTGCATGGCACAATCAGAATCAAGTGTAACTTGGCCAAGACATGCATTTAATCTAATTCTGATTGGCTATTAGAAATGAATCTGGTGGTCTCTCACATCATATTTTTTCACACATTTCAGTCTTCCCATCTCAGTTAATAAGTCTAAATAAGACAAACTTAATGGGCAGAACTGCAGGCAGATGTATGAAGGTACAAGAGGTATTGAGGTAGGCTACTCTGCCTATAGTATCGATCCTAAAATACTGTAGCTCCCGTATGCTTAATCCAGCAGCCCGAGTGATGAGCATGCAGGCTCCAGAGGGTCATTTACAGTGTCTGTAAGAATCCAACCGCATTGCCTCATTGTAAAACATAACAAAAGCAGCTGAAATACAAGCCTGGTCTGTAGCTACCTGTGCTCTATAGCATCACTTTTTCATTAAAAACCACAATCCTGCAGCTGAGCCTCAGGGAAAGCCACAATGCAGCCCTCTAACACAAGGGCAAACACACAGGACCTGACGCTAGCCTTCAAAAAATAAAAAAAAGCAGTAAATAAATAGACAAATTGAAGTGGGGTTTTGCGAAAGGGTTGATTGTAAATGGAGAATTGAATGTAACTGGGTTTGTCCAGCGCTCTGTGCAACATTTGGCCTTTTATGTTTGTGGGTTTCTATTTTGAAAGACTCCAGCTCCCTTTGTGTAGAGGAAGCTGATTTAGCACAATAAAGAGTGCTGTGAGTTCCACCGCACATACAGTAGGCAGCTAATGTTACATCGTCTAAAACAGTCTTTAAATATCACACGGGGTGTGGAAAACATCTATAAAATGAAACAGAAAACGGTCTGTTGACTATACGCTGCAGTGCTGTATTTAGTGATTTTGTGCATCTCTGTGTACGTGGCCTTTGTGTAATTACAGAGTAAAAGTTCAGACTATAAAAACCCTCAATGACATTGGAAATGTTTGACTGTCATGTCTTGTGACTGTGATGGAGACCAACCACACAGGTTAGAGATGAAAGGTTTGATCAATGGCACTTGACCTTTATAAATCATCTAGATATGTTTTTGTATTTGAAATTCTGAGGGTTATTTCAAAGTCAAAGAAACTGTTCTAAACCAGCATGTGCTAATTTGAAGTTACGTAA